TGCCCCCCGAGGCGGGACTCCCATATAAGAGTGACGGGAATGCTCGTGGGAAAATTAAAATTAAACCCCTAAGGGAGACCAATGTGGGTGCGATTCGAGCTTAAACTGACCCCTAAAGGAGCTGAGACCACACTAAAACAGACATCTAAATAAGAGCTAAGATAAAGAGGAAAATAAGCGGGATGCCGTGTTCTTTTTTGAACGTTAGATTTCTATATGGTCAGTGTCACTGCATTTTTTTAGAAATTTCTTTTTGCACAGCCGTAGGCGATACCTGAATATGGGCGAAGACAATGACTTTCCTTTCCAAACACCCTAGCATCCCTGTCACTTTCATATGTGTTTAACCCCCGGATAAAATGGAATAGCACTCCTTTAGGCGCTCGCTTCACGGCACATATGTTACGCATCTTATCCTAAATACTCCTTCTTGTTGGTGCTGCATACTGAGAAAGTGATTACGAGAAATCGGGTCGTCGTCAAAGACCTTGCGTCCTTGCCTCTATTCCGTATTTCTTTCTTACGTGTGTAGACAGCAAGAGTTAACTTTTCATCCACACAGCTCGTGACAACAGAACGCGGTGGATTAAGAAATTCACACTAAGGAAAAAGATTTAAAAAGAAACACTCATTTATTTAAAATTTACATATCTGGAGGTGGAAACCCGGTGGGGGGGGGGGGGAATCCAGGGAATTCTTGGTGGAGGTGGTGTTGCCCGGTTCCCCACACCATTTTTCAGAACTGGTATTTCATGACAAACTACAGAAATTTGTCACCATTTCTTAGATTAGATTAACACAGTACTTTATCACCTGGCGGATTCTCTCTGCTTTATAATTGACAGTGTTTTGTTTTGTTTTTGTTTTTGTTTTTGTTTTTTGTTATTATTTATTGTTTTTCGATCTAGTTTGCTTGTTATATAATGTTCAACCAGAAACGAGTTTCTGGTTCAACCCAAAAGCTCTCATTTGCGGATTCAGCGGAGAGAAACCTGGGGACAAACAAATTGGCGCCCGTTGTTCAGTTCTCAGCGGCTTAACATAACCGCGCATGAGATCAACTCGCCCGTAACGTAGCAACACTGGAAGAAACAGCTTTTGGAAGAACACATCCATCGGAAAATCGCTGTGATTTGGCCGCAGTTAACATCTAAAAGTGAAAATGAGTTCAAGAAAGGTTATACAGGGTACGTTCTGAACATCTGGAAGCTTAACTTTGACATGTCCCCCAGAAAATTTACGATAGTTTCGTTTGTTTTTACCAGTGTTCGAGCAGTATCAAAAGGACAGGCAAACTTTCGTCCAGTCTGTCGCTGATCTAGCAAGCCGACCAGAGAATATTGAAACTCTGCAAAATGCAGGTACGATCTATTGATATAAAGTTTCTTGTCTTTTAATTTCTAAAAGGCATTCGAGAAAACATATGCGTAAAGGGCTTTTCAGCCTCTTCTGCAATTCTGTGGTTGTGCGTTATTGTACTTAACTTGATCTTCTTCCTATTAAATTTTGAAAAACTTAAGCTTAAAATTGCTTAAATAACTTCGTTAAACTGTGAGGAACATTTGTGAGATCGTTAGTAGGCAAAATATTGTCTCGATCAGATGTATAGTAAGATTGACATCGAGCAAGTGATAACCTAGTCTGTAATGTCAGTTGTAGACTTATTGTTGCATGTGAAGTGTGAACACAAACTGTCACAGATGATAAGTCTGTACAATGTAGCTTCCTCCATACCAACTGAAGGCTATGCGTTTGTACATTTCCCTGTTTTTAGATGCCATGGCTCTGTTGAGACCTCTTCTTCTTGATGTTGTACCTGCCATTCAACAAACAGCTGCCTTGGCTCTTGGCAGACTGGCCAACTATAACGAAGATCTTGCAGAGGCTGTCGTGAAGGGAGACATTCTGCCTCAGCTTGTGTACTCTCTAGCAGAGCAAAATGTAATGTTTCAGTCTTTATTTCATTTATATACATGTAGTAGATTCTACTATACTGACTTACCAGTACCTTCGAAAAGGGCATTAAGTTACGTTCCTCACATAAAGTATACAGTGTATATCTTAGTGTTAAAAACTATTACGGGTATTTGGATTTGTTTAAGGAAATAAAGATGTTGCTTTCTTTACAAATATAAATTAAAACCCTAACCAGAGTTCAGGGAATGAATGTAGCAGTATTATTTACTATAAATTTAAGGGGATGAATCTACACACCCAACATGCATTAACCCAAAGAAGCCATGACAGGAGATTTTCAAATTTTTATTGCTATCCACAATGTCTTATTCTCACAAGCTGCATGGATAAAAGATTACATTATATAGGGAGCTCAAGCAATGGTGATGGTGACGGCAACGAGGACGGCAAAAACGCATTACATTTGGATTAGCAAAACAACGACTTTGCATATGCATCGACACTTTTTTCCATTTCTTTGCTGTCACTGCATGACTACAATGTGAAAATGCCTAATTTCACATTTTGTGGGGGGCATGAATAGAAGACAACAACTTTCTTTTTCTTTTCCTGTACTTTGACACAGTCCTTTGGAATTCAACTCCAGAAAAATTTGCCAACATTTGAATAATTGAACAAGATGGAATAAGTGCGATAAAGTTTGGGACAGGGCAAATTCACTTTTTAATTGATGTTTTCATAGCCATCACTGTCGTAGTTGCTTAAGCTTCTCTTTGACAATGCTGTCGTCTAGCAACACCCAGTGGTTCCTGGCTGCTATAAACTTTAACTCCTGGGTATCTCAAAAATCTTAGTAATTTTCTCAAATTGTAATCAGAATACAGCTACATGTGGCAACCTAGATTTCACAGGTTCAGAGCACTGGGTTCCCTTCAATTTTACTTGCAGCACAGCCTTAAAATGGTATTGAAAATTGATAAAAATCAATAGTGGATACAAAATAAACAGGAGAAGATCCTATAGGTACAGTGTAGTTAAGTTAAAGTTAAGAATAGTTGAAGTTTATTTTTCACACAGATTATTTATAAGACACCTTAACAGCACCTATACAGTATAAAAACTGATTAATAATTTACACAATTAAAGAAGATTTTTAGATTGAAACCTGTTTTCTTTCATCAGCGATTTTACAAGAAGGCAGCAGCATTTGTTCTGCGAGCTGTAGCAAAGCATTCACCACAATTAGCACAGGTACTTTAATATCAATGTTAATCATGCTAGGTGTCAACCTTTCTTTAGTCTGAGTCCATAAATTAAAGCTGAGTGTTCAATCATATAAAATGCTCTTGATTTCCATGTTAATCTAAGGTATTTGTAAAAGCATGATTTAAGTACAATGTGATATCAGTATTTGTGTTGTTACTGTGACTAACTAGGAATAATATGTCTTGTTTATTATGTGTAGGCTGTGGTGGACTGTGGTGCTTTGGATGCACTAGTGATATGTTTAGAGGAATTTGACCCAGGAGTCAAAGAGGCAGCTGCCTGGGCTTTAGGTTATATTGCACGACACAATGCAGGTTTGTTAAAATACATGCTTTGGTGTTTAACATTTTAAATACTGGAAATGGGTAATTAGATAGACAGACAGACAGACAGACAGACATATTTTATTTAGTCACAGTAGTTTTATCAGCGAAAGTGCTGGTTTACACAAAAGCCGAAGGTTTAATTTGTGTATTTTAATAAGTTAATGATCCTGTAACTTTGGCCATAAATATTTCAAGAAACTTCAGTCCATTCAGGGCTTCTGATATTTCGCGCGGTCACGGACCCGCGAAATTCAGGTATTTCCGCGAAATCCCGCGAAATTCCCAAAAAAACACGAAATACCGCGAAATCTGCCAGAAATATTTCGAAATACATGTCGGCAAAACATATTTAATACTTATCTTGGCTATTAGACCTGTTTTATTCACCCCAAACGTCCAAATTTATCTTGAAACTTCGTCACTGCAATGAGTAAACAACGTCTCAAAACTACAAGGCGTTCTTAGATGAACGTTGCGAAAAACTGGGCACTAACCATAATGTTAACAGCTTTAGCAAAGAGCAAATGATTATCCCTGTTAAAAAAAACGTTAAACAGTGCTGGTCATATCGACGCAAAATTGATCGATTTTAGCGAAATTTGCCAAAAAAATCCAGCAAAATCGGCTGTTTTTTACTGATTGTTTCTTGGCGAAGTTTCCCCCAAAAATTTCCCGTGAAATCGGCCGATTTTTTTAAGAATTTGCCCCGAAAATCCTTCGAAATTTGACTTTTTTCCACTGAAATCCCGCGAAATCGGCCGATTTTCTGCGAATTTTGACTTTTCTCCCGCGAAAATCCCGCGAAATCGGCCGATTTTTCCGCGAATTTGCCCCTGAAAATCCCGCGAAATTTTGCGTTTTTTTCCGCGAAATATCAGAAGCCCTGTCCATTGACAATAAACCCAACAAAGTTGCCAAAAAACTAATCTTTGCATCTCAAAAATGTGGTTTTCGCCAAACACCCGTTAAATTAACCACCTGGCGAAAACTTTGTTATTGAATTACGTGTAATTATAACAACCATCCTCTTCAACAATAGCATATGATAAGCTAAGGGAGCTGCTAAGTTGTGCAATAATTCTTTGATATTTTAGTGATGTTAATAGTTTTTTTTTTCCTGTTTAGTGCTATCCCAAGCAGTGGTAGATGCCGGAGCAGTACCTCTGCTGGTTCTTTGTATCCAGGAACCTGAGTTGCCTCTTAAGAGAATTGCTGCATCAGCATTAAGTGACATTTGTAAACATTCACCAGAGGTGAGAGCAGGATACATGTAATTATGTGGCCCATCATGTTTCCTTCACATGTGAGTGACCAAAGGAATGCATGTCCGAATCTACATACCAGTATAATTTGGCCCTCAAGGGAATAAGACATAGTGTCCTATTTCTCATGTATGATTACTTCTTTGACCAATATATATTGTCTAACCCCAGTTTTAGACAAAATGACCTTGCCGCAAATCTGATCCAAACATTTAGCACCTTAAAGAGTAGTTCTTAGAATTCTTATTTAATTCTGATAACTGGTCTGGGGTCTTTTAACATGTCTTTTAGATTTACATGTAATTGCAAGTAAGGAGAAGACTTTGTTTGGCTCATGTAGATCACTGCATCCTGGGAGCAGTGCCTCCTTCTTGAGTGAGGAGGAAAAAATGAGGCTCTGTCTGAATCACTTCAAACAAGTCAATCTTGTTTTCTCTCTCAAAATGGTTTTTTTGAGTGGGAGCATCCATTTACTTGTAAACCAATGGTCATAGCTCTCTTACATGTACTTGATTGATGCAGAATTCTTCTCAAGTACACCAGAATTGAGCAAGCAAAAAAAAGGCTCTGCTAGCAAGGTGGCTTCACCAAATTTTCAGGCAAAAATTTAATATGAAGTTTGCTCTTTTTATTCTCAGTTGGCTCAAACAGTTGTTGATGCTGGTGCCATTGCTCATCTTGCACAAATGATTCTTAATGGTGATTGTAAGCTCAAGGTAAAATAATGATACTGAACTACATTAATATAAAAATTTTAGTCTGTTTGCATGTACTTAATGTACAACTACATCTATACCTTATTTTAATGTGGCCCATATTATATCCAGATTTCCACAACCATACCTCTTTGCTGGCCATACAGCTGAATCTTTATTCTATGTTACAGTTCTTTCTTTTGCATGGAAAAATTTTGTTTCATCAAAAATTTCTAAAAACTTCATTGCATTGTGTACTACTTATATCTTTGACGTATTTAGAAAATCAGAGTGTAACAGGTTTGTTTCTGAAAGGGTCAATCCAGTGGCAACTCAAAACTCTAGTCTTCAAAACACTTGTTTTGTCTCATATAAGACTTAATTCAATCGTTAGTCAGTTCTCAAAATTGAGATCAAAGTGACGAGCAGCACTGTATCTATTTTGTTTTGTGTTAAGTATGTCATACTCTGTTGCCTCTGTAAGTTTTATAAGCATTTGCCGTGAACACTTACAGAATTCCACTTGATGCAGGGATTTTTAAAAAGAAGACATGTCCTTTTTTCAGCGACACATATTTTCTGCATTAAGCCAGATTGCTAAACATTCAGTTGACTTGGCTGAAATGGTAGTGGAGGCTGAGATATTCCCAGCGGTCCTTGGTTCTCTGAAAGGTGAGACAAATAGGTGTATATTAAATTGTTTTATTTATTTATTAAATCATTATTTAAACAGGTATATACTTGTCATAGATATTAAGTTTGCTTGAATTCCTTCCTTATTCATTTGGAAAGTTCTTCTAAGGCGGTTTTAGGCAAAAATGTCACTTATTTTGCAAAAATATCTTGCATAAAGAATTTAACATAATTTTAGAGCCTTAAACCTGTAGTTTTAAATTGAGTAGAAAAATGACCACCTATAGTGGAGAAGCTAATCAAAACAAACTAAACTGTGTAATAAATATTTTGTGTCATCTTTATTTTACTAGACTCTGATGAATATGTGAAAAAGAATGTGGCAACACTGATCAGGGAAATTGCTAAGCATACACCTGAGGTAAGCAATATTTTTTACAGAGTTTATTAGTATGAAGTGTGGTTTAAACTTCATACTTTATTTTAGAACAAACATTTAGATCTCTAAATAGGGTAGATTATTGTAAATACAACCACGTTTGAGACATGAGAATTTCGTCAAATTGACCTCGTAACACAACACAAACAAAATGGAAGTTATCATTTCAAATTTCGTTAGCTGTTGTTTGTCTTGTACCATAGCTTTTCTTAAGGGGCACGCAACGACTTTTTTCTGTGAAGTAACCCTTTGAAGGAGCAAAGATATGCCTGGAAATTTCTGGATAATCTTTCCATTCGTCTAAGATGTTCGGGGTTTTCTCGTAACCCTTTTTTCACATTTTATCACCAAGATATTACAATTTTTGTTGAATAGAAGGTCCCATAGGATCTTCTAATGAAAGTACGGCTACACCATGTCCTTGAACTTTCGACCATACCCATCAGGATTAAGAATTTGGGATGAGATGGAAAAGCCACCTAAAACTTTCGTAACACCCAAAGCTTCCCTAAGACATTAAAAAAGATCAATAGTTTTCAGGGCAGCTCCACATTAACCAAAACAGGCTTCTAAAGCATAGAGAAAATTATTTGAGATACTTTTAACGTATTGGGAAACATTCGTTTGTTGGGTGCCCGCTGTTTCTTGCATCCCTGTATGGCGTTTTTGAAACGCGTGGCTGTGTTCTGTTATGCTCTGTTTCAAAGGTAGTTTATTACACATGAATGATCTTTGTTCTCTCCAACTATCTTCATTTAGCTTGCTCTGCTGATTACTAACGCTGGAGGTGTCGGAGCTGTTGTGGACTACATCAGACAATCAAAAGGAAATGTCCGCCTGCCAGGGATCATGATGTTGGGATATGTTGCGGCTCACTCAGAATCGCTCGCTATGTCTGTCATTGTGTCTCAAGTATGTACTTCAACTCAATAGTCACGTTCAGTCTAGTATCGTACAGTAATTGAGTTGAATAACTCTTATTTAGAACATTATGTGCCCAAGAGTCTTGCCTTGAAGTCGCTTTTTTTGTTCAGAAACAAGAGATTAACTGTTTCGTGCTCGGGGTAGGGGGTGGGGGGGGGGGGGTACTCGACCAATATTTGAGTATAGGTGAGCAGCTGAGGGTTGAAACCCTGACCCTGTTTCGGGCAAAAGATTCCTAAAATACATACCCTGTTTAGGACAACACCCTCCATTTTATTACGGGCTGTTTAGGACAAAGGACGCCAAAGAAAATTCACGTTATAATCATTGCTTTTGTATACCTGGAGTACAAAGAAAATTCATCTTGCAAATCAAATCAATTGTGCAGGCAATACACGTATCCTGTTCCAGGCTCTCAGATAGTGAGGAAGACGCGAAAGTGAAAGGTACGCGCAAAGTTGGCGGGGCGGGAAAAATGTTGGCGCTTTCTCAATTGAGCGGACCCGACTATCTCGGAGCCTGAAACAGGCAATAACCTGTTGACAGATTCCCACGAAATTATATACCCTGTTTGGGACAGAGAGGACAAAAACCACACCCTGTCCAGCGGCACATCCCCGTATAGGCCATATAAGGGAATACCCCCTCCCGGGGAGGGGGGGTTCGTGAGATTTATGTTTCCTTCAAGACAATATTTTTTCAAAACGAATTGAAAAGAGAAAGCCCTTAAGCCATTAAGGTATTTTAGTAGTCAAGAGTAGTTTTGGTTCAGATGTCTTGACTTGAGTTAACAAGGGAACTCTTAAACTCAATCGGTTATTGGAGGGATTCACAATGTAACGTGTTAAGCACCTAGTTTTTTACCACCGCGTGAAAATCTGAACGGGTTTATGATGTACTTTACTTTCAATGACAATTATTTGAGCACTTGATAAACGCTGTCGTTGTTATGAAATGCAATTACAAATATCACAAATCTCCCAATTCGTTTAAGGATCAAATAATGGGTTACATCAGAATTTCTTTTTTGTCTCTCTTTTACAATAAAGAGTGACGACATTGTAACATTTCAAACAAGCATTATACAGTATCTTATCGTTTTTTTTTTCTGTAGGCTGTCACAGCATTAGCGGCAATTCTTGCGGGAAGTGGAGAGGATCGCACTACGGAGTTAGGTGGGAATGAGGAGGATCACATCAAGGTATTCGTGTCTCTTTTTACGGTGTTTACGAAGCGACGGCGACATCAGTATGAAAACTATGATGGAAATTGAAATCAATTTTTCACCTTAGGGTACATTTCTTCGTCATCCTCTACCAGCAGCTATCTTTTGAAATTCCTTACCCCAACGTTTTTATAGAAGACGTTGACATTCGACAACGAATTTTCCATTCCTTTTCAAGCCTAGATGCGCTCCTTAAGAACTCATTTCAAACAAGTTCACATTAGTTTTCACTGCCATCGCCCTTGTGAAAGCTTGTTCTCTAATATTACAAAATGAATGTAGCAATTTCCCCTCCAATAGTAATATTTTTTTTATTCCATAAGCTTGCCTTCTACAGTGTCCGTACATTGTAGTTGTGTTTTTACAATAGTTTGTGATTGTACCATTCTAAATTCATGTACTAGTTAAAAACCTAATCCATGTTGTCACTTACCAACAGGCTGCTATTGCGTGGGCCCTGGGTCAGATTGGAAGACACACTCCTGAACATGCTAAAGCTGTTGCTGTCACCAATGCCTTGAATTCACTGCTACAGTGCTATCTCAACACTGAAAGCTCTGAAGACTTACAAACTAAGGTAACATGAAAATCTACATGTAATGAACAGAAAGACCACTTAAAGTCATCAGTTCCACTTCGTTGAGTAGGTCTTAACTGTCACAGTGTCACACTGTATTTGCAATTATTAAAAACTGAATCATTGGATAATGCAGTTCCAGAGCTCTGATGGGCTTAGCCATCATGGTATATGAGCCATTATAGCGTGCTATCCAAAAATGGTAACTGTAGCCGTCTGCTGAAATTCAAAAGCAAGCTGAAAATCGGTTGTTTTTCCAAAAAAAGTCGGGAAGAATTCTCAATATTTTGTGGGCGTTTATTCCACTCGCCCTTGTTGGATATGAGATGATTATAGCCAACTCGGCGCTACGCGCCTTTTTGGCTAACTACCATCTCATATCCAACGCGCACTCGTGGAATCATTGTTAATTATTGTTGTTAGATCAGCAATCTACAAACCACAATATCCACAAACAAGCTTGCCGCTTGTCTCCGTGCAGCATTAAATCGGTATTCCAGATTAGACTGGCGTGGAAGGCTTGGGAACTTTTAACAAATCATTGTTGTCTAACTCAAGTTGAATACATACCTAAGCGAACTGGAAGTAGAAAATCACTTTGCGGGGAGTGACTGTTATCAAAAGTTCAAATAGTAAAATGCTGCTAATTTGAATAAAGCGGTTTTTGTCCATCTTCGTGGTCCAGAAAATGAATAGCCTGTTCCAAATAATTTGTGAAGAGCGTCTATAAAAGAGAGAATGTAAGATGACCTTCCGTTGATGCGGACGTAAACGTTAAACGTTAGGAATTCGGAACACTTCGAAAAGCGGGTCCAGACATCGCACAGCGAACAAAGCGTAAATAACTCACAATTACATACGGCAAAGTCAAGTGCATCCTGCGGACATTTCTCCTTTGTTCCATTATCTGGAGATCTTTTTAAACGGTAAAACAGGCTCGCGTATAACCTGGTACAGTAGGACTTTTCAGCCTTGTAGTTTGTATCAACGGAGACGCTAAGATCATCTTTTCCTCATTGTTATATTCTTTATTCTTTCAGTCCAAGAAAGCTCTCACCAACATTCTTCAAAAGTGCGTTCATCTGCCAGCCTTAGAACCCCTGTTAAGCGACGCCCCGCCCAACATTTTAAAGCACGTTGTTGGCCAGTTTGCCAAGGTTCTTCCGCACGATGCTAAGGCACGGAAACTGTTTGTAACGAGTGGAGGACTTAAGAAAGTACAGGAAATAAATCCCGAGAGAAATACGACCCTTAGTGAACACATCAATGCTGTTAACAACTGCTATCCTGAAGAGATTGTCCGGTGAGTGACACTAACTGTAAACATAGCAAGTAAAGGGGCTGTGTCACGTCTCTCCAGTTCTCTTTTGTTTATATTGCCAATTACACATAATGGAGCTAAACAGTAGCGAAGAAATTACTTGCAAATGACAAACTCGTGGCTTCATGTTAAACAAATATGTCTCCCAAGAATCATATCAAACATTAAAAACAGCAAAATGAACTTTGAAAAGCTGTTTAACCTACTAAAATTTTAAAAACCACACTTTCAATTCGCTTCAATCTTCCTCAAGTTCTTTTGTATCTCTGTTGTTTATACCTTTTTAATGTTTTGAGCGGTTATTCTCATGTTTCTCTCGATTTAGTGGCAGTTCCTAGGTCTGTTTCAATTTCGATAAAATTTGGTGACACAGCTCCTTTAACCTGTATAAAGTCCCAAGCGCCTTTAAAATCGTAACTCAACAAAATAAACAGCACTAGCTTGTAAAAGGCCTAACGAGGAGGCTTCATAATAGGAAACTGTACATAGACTCAAATGTTTGAATTGTCCGACAGTGATGGAAGCCGGAATTTTCATAACTGCCTCAACTGCGACGTAAACGTCAATGTCTACCCGAAGTGAGATCTTTAGCCTTTTGATATGCCTTGACGCTATCTCATTATAACTGTCTTTACTCTTATTGAGACGATTTGCCAAAAAAATTGGGTACAGGCATTGCCCAAGAGTGCAAAACGTCCATTTCCGGTTGAAGTGTGTAAATGTCTTTGCATAAGTTCGATAATTACCAACCATGCCTGTTCAACTGCGTTAATTGTTTTCATGAGCACGAAAATTGCTTTGCTGTATATATTCATATTAAATTTTTATGGCTATTTCAGATCAGTACACGATTTTAGGAATGTACCCACGTAGCCCTCCCCTGAGTAAGAAGTTAATTTTGACATTGTTTGAGGGGAGGAGTAGGTGGACAATTTGCCAGAATTTTCTTTACTTTTCTACAAATAGAAATGATTAACCTCCCCCCAAAGTCAATTTTCCCATTAAGAACTGGCATCTTTTTTGAGGAAGTAAATGGCGCTCGTAGCTTGAAACTTGATAGCCGGAGAAAACAGCCGACATTTTACGATGCAACCACTGGTTTCCCGCGAAAGGTGGTCTGAAAAACAGTTACAGAAATTCCATACTGATGATTTGTTGCTTCTGATTGGTTGAAGCAGATTTTCCACGCGCACGATCGACGATCAATCAGAAGCACTATCCAGATCTGGGTAGTTACACGTCATAGGTATGGAATTTCTGCGCCCGTTCCTCAGAAGTCATTTTCCCATGCTAGAAACTTGACATCAGAGTTATCTATACTATCCTTTCTTTCTTCATATTCACTGATCTATTTTTGTTTTCTTGTTACAGATATTATTCACCTGGTTACGCCCAGACACTCCTTCAAAGAGTGGAGCAATACCATCCTTAAATTTCCTCGTTCGCTTGTTTAGATAATTTCATTAACATAGAACCAAGACTATAAAAGCACGTTTTTGGTTATTTTTATTATTTTCATTTACTGATTCATGGACAAGTTCGGATGAGAGAGTTTTCCAACGAGTTTCTCAATCTTTTTGTCTGCTCCAGTACTTTAAGCCATATGTCACGGAGGAAATCGATTGGATATTGGTCCTGTAAAATGAAAAGTTTATAAATTTCAAATGAACTTAAGTATGTTACACTGTGTAAAATACTCCTATAATGTAAATATGTTCCAAAGGCATCATAAAGTGTTCTTATATTTAATATGGCTGAAATTTCTCTAATTAATAACCATCTTAACAAATGATTTGCTCATGCCTAGAGTTCGTCGGACTCGCAATCCGGCGGTCCCGGGTTCGAGTCCCGCATTGGCGACTTGCTGGATTAATTCTCGTCCCGAGTTCAATCCTTGGCCATGCTTGTGAATAGCCAACTGGTTGCCTCCGGCCAATTGGGGTTTTTAATCCTGTTATTTTGTATTTGAATTATTTGTTTCTAAGTATTTTAGTGGAGTGCCTGTAAACTAGCTGGATGAGCTAAGTGCACTTTCCACTATAAACAAGCCTTTGAACCTTTTTTTTCTCTTAGAGCTCAGTGGTTGGAGCATCCCTGCCTTAAATCCCTGCCTTGCCCCTGTGCGGCGTATTCCCAGTCTCTCTCAGTCTTGTACCACGTGATCCGAAACTCTTTGGCCGCGCGGAATAATGAGGCCTAGGGACTAGGCAAAGAGCATCCGAGGACTGTCTGGAAGGTCCTGGCTTCAAATCACATCTGGAACTTACCCTGTGTACAGACGTCCCCCCTCCCTCAGGAAAAATCGGGAGAGGAGACTTCTGTGAATCGCCGTCGTTAATCGTGTTCCCGTTTCCCCGGAATGTTGGGGACAGCCTCTGATTGGTTGTAATGTTGTGTGTTGAGGATGAATTCAACCTACGTCTTCTTACTTTAACAATATCCCATCGAAACTAAAAAGTGTATACGAGAATTACAATTGGCTAGTTGGACTCAAGACATGTTTTTTTTTTACTTGAAAAGAATCTCTTCACTTCATGAGATTGGGGCGTGCCCGCCTAAAAGCCAAGAGAGAGGTAAAATGAAAATTAACTGGCTTTTCGAAAACCACTGACAAAATGTATGAAATTAAAACTACCAAAATTGACTAGCTGATATGATGGACTCAAGGTATGATTGTTTACTTGTCTATGAAAAAATCTCTCTTCAACTCATGGGGCTTGCCGCCTGGAAACCAAGAGGGAGAATAGAGGAAAAACCAGCGAATTATGGAAACTATAAAAGATTTAAAAATGCAATTGGCCAGCTAGCAGAAATGATCGATTCAAGCTGTGATTTTTCTGGTATTGATGTTTTGTCGACTGAGTCGATGCATAAAGTTTCCAGAGTGTGCAAACTCAAGTGGACTGTTGCTTTCCAATAGGTCTCCATTACGCAACTTTGCCTAAGAAATATTTATAGTATCCATCCAAATTTTTGTATAGAACTAAACCAAATTTTTGTATTAAATTACAAGAGACAACTTTTAAGTTGTCTTGGAAAAGGGATTTGAGCCCAGCATATAAATAACGGTATTAATTCATATAAAATAAAAAATAATAATAATAATATGGACAGATCCTGGTACCCACTATTGAGGTGTGAATCAACATTGGGAATGCATGAAGTTTGAACTATAATAACTATACTGTATCCATTTTGGAGAGGCTTCAACAGTGGACTGTAGTTCAACTTTGATACCATATTCGTAGCCTCTTTGTTAGAACACAAACCTTTTTGACAAAGCCCCATACCCCCCCCCCCCCCTTCCTCAGCTTTCCAAGAGTTTTTTACCGTGAACCTACGCACATAAAGAAAATTAACCTTGTACAGTTCTTAAAAGTTATTTTCTCAGCCGGGTAATAAGGTCAATTTTCTATTAATTTTTGCCTTAAAAAGGAGGATTCAAGAAAAATTAAAATTAGAGCACATTTGGCCACAGATAAAAATTCAAAAAAAAGCTATTTCACATGCATGGAAGTCTGACTTACAATGTCATTTTAATTGCAAATGAACTTTCTCATATCACTATTCAGTTATTCTTTTTATTTCAGTTTTAGCGCCATACAAAGCATGGCGACTGAGTATGCTCTATTGTTGACCAGACCAATCAGATCAGATGTTACCATTTTAACCAGCATAACTGATGCTATGAATATGAATAATAACTACTGCAGTCAGACCCCTGATGATTAATTTTATCCTCAAACCCACGTTCCCTTGGACCAGTCTGAAAACTTATCTGCTGGACTGGAACTCACACAACCATGCGAGCCTAGGCCTCCCATGGGGCAGAGTGCATTATTTGAAGTAACCCCCCACGCAGACGATCTCAGGGGTTCATCATGCATTCCTGCCCCATTCCTGCTCATAAAGGAGTTCTTTTGGTGAGGCAATGGCAAGATGGTATGGTGTAACTAAACAAAAAGCAGAATTGTTTTTTGCACTCTATTGTTTTGTAGTAAAGCCAACTCCAAGGTAATTGTTTCAATGAGATTGTGAGGGTAGCCTCTAGCACAAAAGCTTATGAATAACTGAGAAGTTTGTTCTAAAGGTGTAAGCGGCCGGTCTTCTGAACCTTTTTATGAGACCTTTCTGACTGTTCTGAGTCTCTCGCAAAATTACTCAAGGTTAAAAGTGCACTACCCTGATCTGGAAGTGTGCTGTGATTGGTCTACCTTTTTAACTGCTTGTTTCAGCAGATATTTGTTGGGGAGTATTGCGTGACAAGCCAAAATGGGAAGTTACAGCTGATGCCTTCAACAGGCATTCAGGAAGCTGAAGCTGACAGTTCTTGACTCACTGGCTACTAGAGAAGACTTATTTGTGAAGGTTTTACAGGGAGCCCTAAGCTCTGAATATAGACTGTATATATATGAATTCTGAACAAAAGTAAGGGCGTTCCCATTAATAAGAACTTGCTGGCCAGACCAGTCCATTCAGAAAGAGAATTACCCTATTATTCAGAGCAGTCCAAACAAATCAGTCCTTCCCTAAAAAAACTAGTATAGATGAAAGTAAAGAGTTTTTAGAAACAAATCTGGATAAAAACCTATTAATTTTCATTTTTAAAATGACTGGATTAGCCAGCAAGTTCTGACTTTTGGTGAAGTGTCTCTTCCTAATTCCCCAAGGGCAAAAGTAAGTTGACATGCACAAAGTGGCATACACAATGTTTTTTCTTGCACATTGGCCCAGGGGTAAACTACCTCTTGAACTTCAAAGCTATTAATTTTCACAGTCGAGCAGAATACCAGGAGACTCAGAAGTTGCCGTGTTTCTTGAGAGTCCATACATCTAACCCACTCTAACTGACAAACTGGTAGTACTGGTGTGTTCTGTGTGGTTATTCTTATAGTTTCATACGGTCTTTTACCGCCCAGTTTTCAATACTATTAACCTCAGTGGAACCTTTTCCCGCCCAATCCATTTTTTAAGGGAAAAGCCCTGGTGATGAGGTTGGTGATCTCAGTGATCTGCTGACAAGGGCACACTAAACCGAAGATCATTATTAATTTGACTAATAGATTGCGCTTCGGGTAGACCGGTGTTATGTCGCTGTACCATAAAAGAGAACAAATTAAGTGTCGAGGAGAAAAGTGATATTTGCTTGGGCGCATCCTCGAAAAGCGCCTATTTTTTCGACTTTGATTGTGCAAACCAGTCGGTTCACGGTTTGGGCAAATGGTAAGCAAAATTAAGAACTGGTACATTTCATCCCGGAGTCGCGTTTACAGTTTGTACAAATAAGTTTCATTCACCGAAATGACAGCCGATAGGCCATGCCCTTCCGAGCTCCAAGGACTCTCACTTTCAAAATGAGGCTAAGTGCAAAACCTTTCTTATGCAAATGAGTTTTATTTGCATGATAATAAAAAATCATTTTCATGTCAATGGTTTCGCACTTAGCCTCGCATTGCCGCATACTTTGCAGTTAAAATGTTCATTTGCTATTTTCAACAGAGAAACGAATTGCAACGTCAAGTTACCATGGTAGCAAACTTTCTGGATCTCACTCTTTCTTGACGGAGACGGTCATTTGCATTTTCGAACGATGGGAGGAAATTGTGGGCTACCGGTTTGTTTCTGAGTGCAATCATGTAAAGGAAAGTCATACATGTCAATTTTTTACGTTTTTTCTGTCATATTTGCAGGACCACGGTTTGTTGAGATCCAAAAATTTTGCTACCATGGCAACGTGAAGTAACGACTTCTCTTCTATATTACGCGGTTAGCTGGTGCGAGGTCTGGAAGCAAAAGATTTTCAGAGCTTCTCATATCTCTTATAATACGGCATATTACTCGGCAAGCGATCGGTAATTCCGAGAGTTTTCCGACTGACAAAATCTTTCTTCGGTTTCGGCACCGACTCAACTGACCGCCCTCAGACGGAAAAGCCTCCTGTGAGTCAGCTGCAAACCAGAATTTGATTTTCCAGTCGCTATCGCCCTCGTAGTTTCGTAAGGTCTGTAAAAACGTATTTCAATTTATTACTTCAAAAAACCATTTCTGTGAAATGTAATCAGGAGTACATGACGTCAAAAGGCAAGCCCACGTGGACAGAATTTCCCTTTACTTATCGTTTACTGATCCTTATCTGTACACGAAAAGATGAGGTTTTGACGTCAAGTTTATCTATAAGAAGTATTTTGGACAGTTTTTTTTGTGCTCAATTGTCAACTAGAATCTTACGTTTGCCGTCGCTCCTACTTTCGCTACGGTCCAGATACCTGTTTACACTGCGACGAAAAGTGGCACAAACATATCTCAAATGTGACGATCTCCTTTCAAGATCAGGTTGACAGAGCTTCGCTCCATCCGGTGTAGAAATCGCGCCCAAATCACCGTTATCATGAGTGAACAGAAGTCCTACCCTATCCCGTATGGTTCTCGTGTCGGAGCAAGAAGTATACCGTATAGTATGAACATACACCACTTGCACATCTGCCTAAATCTCAGCCTAAATCTCAAACATCTCATGACCTGAACGGGTAACAAACAAGGAACGAAAGAAAATATCCTCAAAATTCCTTTAGCGATGTCCAAACAACTCTAAGTAATCAAGCTACATAACACACAGAATACCCAGTTCCACTGTTTTATTACAAAATAGTCAAGAGAACCAATGTGAACATCACGATAAAATGACTACGTCAAACGCTTCAGTGTAAACTCTTAGTTGGTTTCTCCTCTTTTTATGCATGCAAAAACGTTTGCAAGAACAAAGTCGCTCAATTTTGAAAACTGAATTTACCCACATATCTAATTACACTCTGTTGGTACTCTATTCTTATTTTCTGTACCTGGTCATTGTAAAATGTTAATCGGCGGAACAAATATTTAAAATTTATAACTGTTCTATTCACTCCAGTCTATACACTTTCACATCTTCGTTGTAGACCTTCAAATTATTGGTCTCGTGTTCGTTCTGCAGTAGCATATTAGCTACTGCAGTTCTACTTCAGGATATATAATATCAGTTTTGCTCTCACAAATCTGTAAACGATGTTGGCACGATATGACTCGTGGAAAACCCTCAAATAAGCGCCCAGGGACAGGACTGTCCTACACCTCCCATAAAAAAATATAACTCAATAGCTAGGTTTGAAACTAACCTTAACAGATGTAGAACCTGTAAAACTGAATTTTTGATTACGAGCTGCAGGTCACGAAGATATAGTTGCTCGACAACGGTTTAGTATTATGTGGGGACGATATTCAAAATACATCTTAAATAGGGTCCGGCCCCTCGGCGCTTATTTCAAATTTACTATAAGGGGTTGAAGACGAGGTGCTTACTTCAAAATAGGGGGAATAAGATAACGATTTTCTGAAGATTTTCGTTAACAGGCCATGTTTCTCTTTTGGTGAAATCTAGCCTCAAAGGTTAATCAACTGCGTTGTTATTTAACGACTAAACACATTCCTCTACCCACAAAAATAAACACGGAATGCTCTTTGCACAAATGTCGTTTTACAAAACGTGTTTATCGAAACTGCAGGAATATCGTGCCCCTTTCAGACAGAAGCCCCGTAATGACAGTCCACTGTAGAAAAAAATCTTAATCGCTTGCTTAAAAACGGAAATGATGAAGATGAAAACACGTTTAAAAAGAGATAAATAGCATCAAGGAGGAAAACTTCCCCGTAACTTTAGGAGTAAGTCTTTGGACGAGCTACAGTGGCTGAACTCAGTTTACGGTAAAGAAGGTCAGAAAGGTAGCCCCGCATTCTAAGTAAGAACTTACCGAAGATTTTTATGTTCATTTAAAATCAAATCAACCAATGCACAGTACCATGTAACCTGTTATACCTATTTTTTCCCAAATGTTATGTACACGAATATTTTTCACTTCTAAAGCATGGCAAAATAATGTCAGGACCAACAACGGTGACTTAATATACAAAGAATGAGGAGACTTACTTTCTCACTGAGAAGACAGTACGTTTCTAACTCGTTACAACGCGATTTCGATGGAAAATGTAATACAAGCTAATTATTTTATTTCCCTACCAAAGATTATTTAAAGACAAGATCAAATTCCAGAAGGAGGAATTCTATAATTTGGTTTTGGTGAACCATGTTAAGTGCGATGTCTCCGGAGTCGTGCCGAGGCCACATTAGGTTTGGTCCCCAAACGATAGCAAGATTCTGTGCATTCATTCGATTTGTCTCACTCTGAACCATCAACCTGCAAGTAAATTCCGACTGGGTTAGGGTAAAGCATGTGCCATAGTTTGGGTAGCCTGTGCGATCAAGCTCCCTATTCGCCACTTTAGAAACAGCTGGAAAACTGGGCCCGAGTAAACTTTCGCAAAGATTTCTGGGAATGTTACTGGAGAAAAAGAAAAAATTAACCAATAGCTGACCGGCGCGTAAATAGTAACGATCCCAGAAGTCCTTAACTCGGGCCAGTTTGTTTCTCGTTTCTACGTGGCGAATTTCGAGTGGTATGCAAAGCGAGCAACGAAGAGAACGCGCGAGCGCGCCCTGACGTGTGCCTGCTTTTCAGCGATTCACCTCAAAACGAGTTCTATTCATTTTAAATACTCGCACAATTTAGAAACCCCACCAAGATAACTTGATCTACTTTCAAAACATGTGTTCCACTGCCTTGAACAATGCTGTCCTTGAAAGAGCATGAAGAGGTTTTGAGCCATGGCGTTGCAAAACTAATGGAACTTGTAACAATAAGCGATGTGCATTAAAATTCACAAGTAAACGGGTTAGTCTCTAGAAACATTGCGATACCCTGTCAGTAAGAATTTGCAACAAAACACACGGTGCAAACGACATCTCTTGAATGTCTTTACGGTTGCCAGTTTATCTAAACAACTCAGTTGACAACACAACATTTTTGTGAGTTAAAGATACTTGACTGCGGGCTAGAGAAAGACGCCCAAGCGTAAGTTTATAGATGTCCCACGAAACTCGCTGAGCGGCAGCCTGTATGACTAAATGTAAGCAAGCCACGTAAACGCCCGTTGTGTCTTATTAGTCAACATTTTCTGCATCAGCACTCAGAATCTATCTACTATGCCACGGAAGAGAATAAAATACTTACTTCCGCAAATGACGCAGCAGCAACTTGAGAGTTTCACCGTTCACCTTTGGCATCTGAACTGCCAGTGATCTCATCGCAGTTAATTTGCTCTTCCTGGTGCTTTGTTCTGGAAAAAGTATATTGTAAAATTAAGTTTACTGCCGTATCTTGATTTCACGGGGAGGATTGCGTGCCCTTAAGAAACCCTTGACAAATCTCTGCCCCTCGCAGATTCAAACAAGCTAATCGGTTTACAGGAGAGGGGTCAGGCAAAGCAGCACCCTGGTCCCCACGGTTGGGGGTTAAATTCTTGATTGGAAAAACAAGATTGTGGAACCTAATAGAAGCCTTATGTGCCACTCAGCATGAAGAGGATGGGAGGACACGTTTGGTGAGATATACAGAGAGAGATACATGAAGGATTTACTGATTCCTTACCCCGTGTAAAGTAATTCCGAATCCGGCAAAGGTTGTGCTTATTGAAACCGGAATCCTGGGCATTAGAATCCATAATTCTGCTCAAGGAGTCTGGAATCCCCCTAACAATTAGAATCCGGAAATAATCCAGAATCCAGTGCATTGAATCTGGAATTCACGGCGTGGAATCCAGAATCCAAGACTGTCTTGGATTACCTCTGGTGAGGAGAGTCAGTAAACCTGATTAACAAGCAATGTTTATAACTTACTTATTGCCTCTACAAATCCGCTGAAGAAGTCGTAAGGAATAAGTGGTTCAGGCAGCTCTCTGAAGTAAAGCTTTAAGCTTCCAGTGAGTGCATGAACATCGTCAAAAGGTGCTTCACCTAAATGAATTTTCTCCTCTGTGAAATCAAGCACAAAATAATACAGGTTGATTAACACCTCCGTAATATGTTGAATCGTATTGTTATTAAGCATTTCACTCGTCATAAACAGCAAATCATTTTGGAGAAATGCTTCGCTGAATTACACCACAGAAATAATTGTACTTCACTTTCTCTCAATGAATTTTTAGTAATGAAATGTTTATTCCCCGATCTATAAAATAACATTTCTGGAACCAATTTCCAATTCTTTTCTATTTCCTGTTACCTTAAGACACAAAGTTACCTTACAGGCCTTTAAGAACATTGCAGGAATTCTTAAATCCGACAGGACAATTCCAATGTAAACAGTAAACAATGTCATCACTTAAACGTACACCAAGAGTTTCTGTTGGCCAGAACCTCTTTAGAACCTCCAACTTGATAGGTTCTTGTTGGCCCAAGCTCTATTGTTTCAGAGTTGGGTTTCATTGTTAGTTTTGTTTGAGTTAGGGCTATCTATTGTTTTCTGAACCAATCCTGTGAGCCGTTCTAAGAGCTTCCGGCCCACCAAGAATTTTGTTCAGAACAAAGATTACAACAACCACGAAAAAAATGAAAATATGTTTAAAATGGCAAGTGTTGTAAAACAACGAGTTGCTGCGGATAGATTCACTGCAAAGTTATCTTTTAAACATTTCATGCGTCATCTCAATGGTCTAAAAGAGAGTGAACAATGAGAGATTACGATCTTGAACAAAAACATTGAAACACGCCTCAATTGATGCCTTTCATTCTGTACAAGACCGTCCACAAACTAACCTTGGTCAATACAAATTCTGATCTTCTGAACAGTCGACACATTTCCACATACTCTGTACAGTCCATCAAACGATAATCCTACAAGAAAAGACCGCATAATAAATTAACCTTCGTAAAATTAATAATATTTGAGGTGGCATGCTGAAGGTTTTGAACTTACACCGCACGTATGCTCAGGCATGCTTCGTACAACTTCAGGCAAACAAATTTCAAGAACTTTTCAAGGATTCTTCAAGGACAAATTACAGTTTTCAAGGGCTAAGATTTATTTAATAAATCGGCACTTTTTAACCCCCTCTGATCACCCTGTTGGCTAAAACACGACATGGAGTCTTTTACGACTTTCACTTCTTCGGCCATGGTTGATCACATAATTTTATACTACTTTCCACAGCAAGACTTGGCAAAATAACTGGGTATGACTTGCAATTGCATCTGGGGTAAAGAAACAACACTTGAAATAAAGAAACCGAGAAATAAAAATACAGTCAAACCTCTTTAATAGGACACCAAAGGGACAGAACCAATTGTCTGCTTTACAGAGGTGTCCGTATTATAGAGGTAGGGAAGGTATGATTTTTGGCATTTCTGGGACCAAACGAACTGTCCGTAATAGAGAGGTGTCCGTATTACAGAGGTGTCCGTAAGGAGAGGTTAGACTGTACTGTTCATGCAGAAAACGTTTTTCACGTTATCCCTGAGTTTTACAGGTTCTTACACCGAGGATGAGCCAAATTTTCCGGCAAATAATCTAATTTTACAGACAAAGGTGTCTGGCGTAGACAAGGTTGTGAATTTCAAGGGCTTTTTAAGACCTAATAAAAAAATCAAGTACTTTTCAAGGACCGAAACCGAATTCAAGGACTTTTCAAGACGACTAGTAAAATTCAAGACCTTTTCAACATTGTACGAACCATGTCAGGTTGCGCCAGAGCGTTGTCCCAAAAATTCGACCTTGTGGAATTTTGGAACCTAATTTAAAGTGATTCCTAAAGCAGCAAAACTGGACATTTTCTTCTCAAACAAACATCTACAAAGACTTTTCACTTTTTCTGCACTTGTGTTTGTGTTGATACTTTCTAACTTCTGACATTTTAAGGTTAGTTAGGCTGTCTGTAGATGTTTCCAACTTCACGGAAGTCTTGGGGAAAAGGCAAAACTAAAGGCTGGGATCGTAAAGAAACGTTGGGAGAAAAAATACCTTAAACACAATTTTCAACAAGTATAGTAACAAAAACGCCAGACGAAACTTTAAACTGAACTGCAGCAAGGCACCTAAAAAATGGCTGAACCACATCACGTATCTAACAATAATGGTAGATGTCTTTCACTACGTACCTCTTTTTTCAATAGCAGAAATACACTGGCTGACAAACACGGGTACTGATGTATTTTGCCTTTCACACAAGTGAGCAATGTGGCATCCAAATACGCTTTCTGCAAAAAAATTAATAATTGATTAAAACGAACTTGGATAACTCAAATTCCCCGATAATTCGCACTAAATTTCCTCAGTTTCCCTTGGACAAAATTGCACTAAAATTTACCCCGATAACTCGAATTCCCGGCTAACTCGAACTGTTTTCCGTTTCTCTTCAGAGTTCGAGTTACCGGGATTCTACTGTAATAAAGATGAAGACGATGAAGATGATGATCAAGATGATGATGATGATGATGATGATGATGATGATGATGATGATGATGATGATGATGATGATGATGATGATGATGATGATGATGATGATGATGATCCAGTTTAAGTAAATATGATAGAGGAAATTAAAACAAATAGAAATTTACACCTTGTTTGATTGATGATCTGGTTAGGCTAAACACTGTTACCCACCTTTTATTATTCCTTTTCTTTCCAGTTCTTCTATAGGCGGTCTTTTTGTAAGCAGCTTTTTCAGTCTGTCCTTGATTCCGCTTTTACTATCATCTCTTTCACTAACTGAGGAAGTAAATTAAAATGGATTCAATGTCAAGTCATTTAAATGACAATAATAACGTGGTTTGATTAAAAATGCGAACGACGGCATTGGTTACGAACCCATTTCAACCTAAACCACTATAGCCAATACATTCAAATTGGTTGTAAGCAACGAACCGCACAAAATGACAAGATTTTGAGGCAGGGGTAGTTCCAGAAATTTGTTATTAGATCAGTCCAAACTTATGCCTATTACAGCCCGTTTACAGCCACCTCCTGTGGCCGCTACGCAATACTTTCTGGTAAATGTACGACCAATCAGGGATAATAAGTTCAGTTTTTAACGCAATCAATCATTAAATTTTATAATTTTCTGGTTTGACGGCTGCATTCAGAGGGGCTCCAGGCCACCTAGACCCGCCGATGGATGGTTAACTACTATACGGCACTTTTACCAGAAAACTGCTTAAGGTACACATGTATTCTTGATATGATGACTTATAAAATGTGGCCGCGCAGAGAGGCTTGACAGTGTTAAACTTTACTTTCAGTGTCTTTCTATTTTACACAGTTGAATTGAACGAGAAGTAGTAAATAAAACCAAGGCAACGTTTCAACGTTTGAATGTTGTTAACATCAATATCAAAACTACATCAAAACTAACAATGTGTCAGTTGTTTTTATACACGAACCAATTTTTAAAAATGCTAAGTTCAGTGCAAACTACTAGTGACTTCCTCTCGTTTTACCTCCTCTTCGACTACGAGTGCGAGTCAATCTTTCTTCTGGTTGCAAAGTGGTTGGTGAACCAAGGTCCTCGACTAACACATCATCATTATCAATGCCTACAAGAAGTAGATAAAACACAGAACGTGAATTTTCTTCCAGATTCAGGTCACTGGAAAGGAAGTTATAGAGTGAAAGTTCTTGCGAGGAACACAGTCTCATAAACGTGTCTTTACACAGTTCCCTTATCAATGGCTCCAAAATCTTTCAACGATAACTGTAGTTACCTTCTGAAATACGACATTTAGACAGGTGTATAATTGTTGTACAATTTGTTTATTGTTTTGAGCATAACTGTGAAAGGCACCATTGATGCACATGGCCTTGAAATCGTGGAAAAGAAAAACGAAATTATGACAAACAACAGAAGCATGGATTACGACTGAGGAAAAGAAAAAGAAAAAGGCCAATATAATGGTAAAAAATAATACTGACTGGGACAAGGCTGCTCCCCCTAAATACACGAAATAGAGGGCTTACTAAATTCAGACTACAGACACACAGCTATAATCTAAAGGTCAAAGTTTAACTATCTCAGAACTGCCCAAAATGCTGAATGGTTTACTTCATTGTTTGCACTCATTGTGAGTGCAAGCCAAATTAATAAGTTGTCCTCAGCTTACCACCAAACAACTATGAACTGTTAGCACCCTTAAAAAGGACTATAGTTCACATTTGTTTTTTTTTGTTTAGCTCAAGTGTCGGTTTTGATTGAATTTCGAGAATGGTCTGGACTTGTGACTTTTCTTCCCTTTTAGCAACAGTTCACAGTTTATGTCTTAAAACCACCAAGATAGAACCATGTGGAACACCCTGTCATTGCACAAAATATCAATAACCAGTAACCTTGCATACAGTTTAGTGATTTTGGTAGTAGGACCGCCCCAATACAGTACACTGAATTGTCTATGTGCAACTGCTCAAACTGTATTTGAGTCGAAATGTCATTTTTAATTTGGTTAAATGTAATTTAACTAAGTTAACCACCACGAGCTTAGCGGTCAAGCGGTTCACAAGCGTAGCGGTCAAGCAGTTCACAAGCATAGCGGTCAAGCGGTTCACAAGCTTAGCAGTTGAGCGGCCCACGAGTTTAGCGGTCCACAAGTTAAGCGGTCTAGCGGTCCACAAGCTTAGCGGTCAAGCGGTCTACAAGCTTAGCGGTCAAGCGGCCCACGAGCGTAGCGGGCATCCAGCGGTCAATCCCATAAGTGCAGGCTCACATGGTGTGTGGTAGCTTTGTACACGGCTAGGATCTGCGAGTTGTTCATCGAGCGTTTGTGCAGTGGTCTGTGGAGCGGTTCATTTAGCGTCTTTCGCCTTTTTTAGCGATCTTTGGAGCGTCAGTCTTAAAGTGTGCTTTTTCTTGTATCCTTTTTTCTTTCATTTATTTTCAAAGCGTGCGGATCGTCACGTTCGTTCAGGATGCGTACCACGAACAACAGCTTGTCAACGATGTCTTCCCCGGTTACCGCGTCTTCGCCTTCTTCTAGCGGTTCTACCCCAGCTCCTCCAGTTAACACCTCGGCTTCTCCGCCAAGTCAACCTGTTCCCCTGCCGGACACCAACGCGCTAGCCCAGGCAATTTCACGAGCTCTCGCGGAATCGCTCCCTCCGTTGCTATCTTCCCTTCGAGATTCAAGTGGCGGGAACTCGAACACTGCCGCGGCGTCTGTTCCTCTCTCCTCGACTTCGACTTCTACGCAGTCTCCGGCATCCTCTAGCTCCAGTACCCCTGGCTCTACCTCCCAGTCTTCAGGTACGCTTGTTGTGCCCTCATTTATTTCAACGTACAGCTCATCTGGCGGTCCTTCGGTAGTCTCCTCTCTTCCCGCCACGTCCTCCGCCAACTTGCCTGTAGTGGTTGGGGGCTCTTGTGGTGGCGCGACCGGAACCGAGTCCTCTACGTTTCCAAATCTCAACAAAGCATTTGTGGTGGGCCCTGGCTATGCTCCAGTCCCCTTTAAGCTTGTTTCTAAAATTACCGCAGGGCTTTTTGTAGACTTGGCTGACCTTCTTCCGGACAACATCAGAGCTCAAGAAATCGAACCCCAAGCGTTTTTGGAGGGAAAACTGGTGGTATCAGGGTCGAAGAAACGGGTCATTGAAATAGCAGACATCATCACCTGGATTGAAGCCTTCACAATCTTTTCTATGATTCTTTGCCACACCTTCCCCTCTCGCTGGAAAGATTTAAATCAGTACAAGTTACTCATCATCCAGACAGCAAGGCGCTTTTCTGACAAATCGTGGCTCCACTACGACATCGCCTTCCGAAAAGAAGCCGCAGCCTCAGGTTCAACCGACTGGTCTCGCATGCACCCAGACCTCTACAACTTTCACACCAGATCTCCAGTGACCACTTCAACTGCTTCAGGCTCCTCAACTTCCTCTCCCTTGTCACTATCAGAGCCTCTTGGGTCTTCAGGCAATCCCCGGTCTAGCCAGTATTGCCACTCCTGGAACAACGGGCGCTGTCGCTGGCCCTTTGGTCGCTGTCGGTTTCGTCACTCCTGTGAATCGTGTCACGGGGACCACCCCCGCATCCACTGCCCTCACCGGTCCGCGCGGAGAGAACGGTCCCGCTCCCCTTCTCAGTCAAAGGGGGGTCTCCACCGTCGCTAGGCAACCTCTAGCCAATTCAACTGTAAATAGTTTTGTTCCTGTTCACGTTGGTTCTCATGGTAATTTTTCAGCGTTAGAGTTGCGTTCTCCTTTTGTGTTACCTTCTCAGCAGCAGGGTCTGCCAAGTTCCAGTTCTTCGTTGTGTTCTCCAGCTGTTTGTCCTTTAAGACTAGTTTCTCAGCTTACTCCCATCAATGTGGATAGATTCCAGCATGAACTCTGTCATCATCCTAACCCAGACAAAGTTGCATACGTGGTCCAAGGCCTTCGCGATGGTTTTCACCTTGGTTTCAATTACAGTACTTCCCTGAAGTCGGCAACAGGGAATATGGCTTCAGCACTCCTGAACCCTCAGGTCATTGACAATTACTTGCAGTCGGAAGTTCAGTCAGGCAGGGTGCCGGGCCCCTTCTCCCAGCCTCCCCTCCCTGTCCTCCATGTGAGTCGTTTCGGCGTCATCCCCAAACGCCACCAACCCGGCAAATGGCGTCTTATCCTGGACCTGTCTAGCCCTGCGGGGCACAGTGTCAACGACGGAATTGCGGGCGAGGATTACTCTCTGCAGTACATGAAGGTAGATGACATTATTGCAGGCATAATGCGGCTGGGGCGGGGTTCCCTCATGGCGAAATTTGACGTGCAAAATGCATACCGTATTGTGCCAGTCCATACAGAAGATCGCCAGTTGCTGGGTATGAAATGGCGTGGCGCCTTTTATGTTGATATGGTCCTGCCTTTTGGTGTCAGGTCAGCTCCATATATCTTCACATGTATAGCAGACTTAGTGGAGTGGGTGGCCAAGCAAAACTACGATGTCACCTTCCTGATGCATTACCTTGATGACTTCCACACTCTTGGCCCTCCCGGCTCCTCTGTTTGTCAACATAATCTGGACAGGTCAATTGACTGTTTTTCTAAGCTTGGCATCCCCCTCCATCCAGACAAACTAGAAGGGCCGTCGACGTGCCTAACCATCCTGGGCATTGAACTGGACTCTCTTAATCTGCTGGCACGCCTTCCCCAGGACAAATTTGATAGGATAACTGCCTTGTTGGAAGATTGGTCACAAAAGCGTTGGTGTAAACGCAAGGATCTGGAGTCCCTAATAGGTCACCTTCAGCATGCCTGCAAAGTCGTACCCCAAGGTCGCTCATTCTTGCGCCGAATGATTAACCTACTATGTGCCTTTCGACGCGATGACCACCCGATTCGTCTCAATCAAGAGTTCTTTCTTGACCTAGCCTGGTGGCAAGAGTTTTTCCAGTCTTGGAATGGTTGCAGCTTTCTTCAGTACCCCCAGTGGGCTCCAATTCCTGACTTCGAGGTTTCTTCAGATGCCTCTGGGGCTCTTGGTTATGGAGCAGTCTTCCAGGGTCACTGGTTTTCAGGTGCATGGCTCCCTTCACAGGTCTCTCAGTCTATTGAGTACAAGGAACTTTTCCCTATCGTCGTGGCAGCTTACCTCTGGGGTCCCCAGTGGGCCTCCAAACGGGTCAACTTCCTATCAGATAACCGCTCAGTGGTGGACATTTTGCGGTCTGGCACTTCAAGAGCCCCTACCATCATGTCCTTGGTTCGCTATCTGTCCCTGTTGGCAGCTCGTCACTCCTTCTCCTTCACTGCCTCCCCAGTTAGAGGGAAGTCTAACCCCATTGCTGACTCCCTGTCTCGCTTTCAGTTTCAGCGCTTTCGCCGGCTAGCCCCTCATGCAGATTCCATTCCAATCCAGATTCCGCAGCAGCTCCTCTCGGACTTGGAACTTCGCTGTCAGATAAATGACACTTCTATTTGACTCAATGTCTTGCCCCCTCTACTAAGAAAGTTTATGCTTCGGCCCAACGCCGCTTCTTGGATTTCTGTGCTCAGGACAATAGCCTATCTCCTTCGGGATCAGCTCTTCCAGCCAGTGAAGACATGCTCATCCGTTTCTGCTGTCATCTAGCTGACACTCTCCACCATTCATCCATAAAGGTTTACCTTTCAGCAATCCGGTCCCTTCACATTGAGGAGGGTCATCCTTCTCCGCTGGTTGGTTGCCTTCGGTTACAGCGGGTGTTGCGGGGCATCAAACGTCACCAAGGCTCAAATAGGCGTCAGCGCCAACCCATCACAATCGAGCTGATGCACATTATCTTCCAGTCCTTGAACTTCTCTGACTACAACCATACAATGCTTTGGGCTGCCTGCTGTCTCGGGTTTTTTGGTTTCTTACGTGCTGGTGAGTTTACTGTCAACCCTCCCTTCAATCCTGACATCCACCTTGCTGTCAGTGATGTCCAAGCAGATTCCCTAGTCAATCCTAGCAGCTTCAGGATTCATATTACGTGCTCTAAGACGGACCCCTTTCGCCAAGGTTGCCATATTTACATTGGTGCTGGTAAACGTGATCTCTGCCCTGTACGTGCCCTTACCCAGTATCTACACGTCCGTGGCTCAACTCCTGGCCCACTCTTCCTTCTCTCTGATGGCACCCCTCTATATCGCCAGTGGCTGACATCCAGTATTCAGTCTATCTTCTCCGCTGCTGGGGTCACTGGTTGCTACACCGGTCATAGCTTCCGCATTGGCGCTGCTACTTCAGCAGCCTCTCGTGGCTTACCAGATCACCTCATCAAGACACTTGGCAGATGGTCCAGCGATGCGTATCAGATCTATATTCACACTCCCGTCAGTACTATCGTGGGGGTAGCAAGCCTTCTCACTTGACAGGTATTTTCTTGCGTATCTTTCTCTTTTCCTAGTTGTCCTTGTAGGGTGCCTCGGGACTTGGGTAGTTCGGGGCCAGGGCTTCCCCCAGCCCTGAGCCCCTCTTTCCCTCTCCGATCTGGCTGCGTCAGCTCGGAGAGTCCCTTCGGCTTGGAATGGGGGCTCATGGCTGGGTTGCGGGGATTTGCCAGCCATGGGGGCAGTTTTTCTATCTAGGGGCTGGCTGGCCACAGTGGAAGCCCCTGGGTATCCCAGGCACCCACCTTCCACTTAAGCCAGGCAGTTGGTTAAATTTGGTTAAATGTAATTTAACTAAGTTAACCACCACGAGCTTAGCGGTCAAGCGGTTCACAAGCGTAGCGGTCAAGCGGTTCACAAGCGTAGCGGTCAAGCAGTTCACAAGCATAGCGGTCAAGCGGTTCACAAGCTTAGCAGTTGAGCGCCCCACGAGTTTAGCGGTGCACAAGTTAAGCGGTCTAGCGGTCCACAAGCTTAGTGGTCAAGCGGTCTACAAGCTTAGCGGTCAAGCGGCCCAAGAGCGTAGCGGGCATCCAGCGGTCAATCCCATAAGTGCAGGCTCACATGGTTTGTGGTAGCTTTGTACACGGCTAGGATCTGCGAGTTGTTCATCGAGCGTTTGTGCAGTGGTCTGTGGAGCGGTTCATTTAGCGTGTTCCCCCCCTCCCATCCCTATTTTTCTTCCTTCCACTGTTTGATCAGTGTGACGGGTGCCTGGAATGGGGGCTCATGGCTGGGTTGCGGGGATTTGCCAGCCATGGGGGCAGTTTTTCTATCTAGGGGCTGGCTGGCCACAGTGGAAGCCCCTGGGTATCCCAGGCACCCACTTTCCACTTAAGCGAGGCAGTTGGTTAAACATTATTTTGAAACCTTTTGCATCATTACTTTGTGAATGCTGGTACTGAACTGTGCCTGCAACTGGAAATGGCTCCTCATCATTCTGAAATAAAAAGTATGAAAATTTTAGTTTGGCATTTTCAAAGCATGGACACATCTCTCACATATCTGTTGTAGTTAATTTTTTTATCTCAGGTAATTTTTCAGATTTTTCCATTGTTTTTGGGTATGGTAATGCTAATGAATTTGAAACAAAGCAAAAACAAAAATTAACTGAAATAAAAAATTAACTGCAACATATCCATTAGCCTCTGAAACCTTCTCCTGGGGCCAATTCAGCAAGAATTTAAGCACAAGTGCACTATTGTTTTCAAACCTTAAAATTGTAGCTGTACAGTTTAATTGTAACCATTTTAAAATTTTGTTGAATTGAGCCCTTGTAAAATGATGATGATGATGATACCTTTATTAAAGTTTCAAAACTGTAATAGCGGTGTATAACCACTAAGTAGGGACACAAAAATAAATTTAAAAAGAATAAATCAATTAATTAATTAATTAAAAATGAAAAAAAAAAGAACATAAGAATTAAGAAATTAAGGAAAACTATGTACAGTATAAGCAAATAAGAAATTCGGGAGAACTATATACAATATGTACAAATGTATCCATTAATCTTATAAAAAAAAAGAAATAAAAAATAAGAAATACAAAGAGAGCACTTAGAGCAGTTATTGTCATCTAATAGCATACTAGATCCACTTTTCTGATGTTATACTTGAAGGAGGACAACGTGGAAGCTTTTTTCACATTACTACGAACAGAACTCCATACCTTTGGGCCCATATACCTGATTGAGTGCTTTCCAAAGGAGACTGTGTTGAATCTGGGTATAGTGAAGTCATGATTGCACAGTTTATACTTAATTGCAGGCTGTTCAAAGAGAGTGCTAATGTATGTTGGGCACGTTATTTTTAACTTTATACATGACAATAGCTATGTCCTGTAGTCGCCGGTTGTGTAGAGAAGATAGCCCGGCCATAGATAGTAATTGACCATAGGACGAATGTTTATCACAATATGTAGCCCTAAGTGCTCTCTCCTGGATATGCCCTAGTCATCTAGAACCGCTAGCACAGCAAAAATGCCATATGAGATGACAGTAGGTTAAATACGGGAGAACAGCTGCCTTATATAACTGTAACTTAGTTTGTGTGGGTATAAGGTTCCTAAGCCTCATGAGAACGCTAACCCGCTGGGCGCTCTTCTCAGAGATACTACTTATATGTTCATCAAAACGATTGATTGTTATCAATACAGACAGCTAATAGCTTGAGACATTCAGTGGATCTGACTTCATGATTGTCAATCATAATACTGTCCATAGACTCCTTTCCGCAACCAAATGCCATTGTCTGGTACTTGTCCAAATTTCCCTTTAGTAAATTAGCTCTGTACCATGAAGACGCTGACTCAGCGCAAACAGCAAGATCATCATGCACATCAGAGAGGGTGCTGCTAACAGCATAAAACTGGTTGTCATCTACATACATATTCATGTTCGCATCAACAATATAAGTCAAATCATTTTGGAAGATGTTCCAGATGAGAGGTCCAAATGCGGAACCCTTTGGGCATCCCCTGGTCACCTCTGCCACTCACTCACTACAGATGCTAGCTTGACCCTGTTATAACGGTCTGTGAAGTAGGAGCCCATCAACCGCAGACTTCTTTCTTCAACAACATAAGCTTTAAGTTTTGCAAGTTTAAGTGGATGGTAAAGTGAATTGAAGGCTTTGCTCATGTCCGTGGAGAGAACACCCACAACGTTATGCTCATCCAGAGCAAATTTCCAATTCTCAGTCAAAGACAACAGAGCTGTCTCACAGCTATTGTTTTTTCTGTAAGCTGTTAGTTTGTCACACAGTTTGTTACTAAAACCATAACTGAGTTGCTTGCTGAGTAATTGTTCAAAGAGTTTGTTTACAGCAACTTGTACAGTTATGGGTCTGTAGTTTCCCTTTTCATGGGGATCTTCCTTCTTAAAATGGGTGTCCATTCACCCCTTTTCCATACCAAGGGCCACTCTCCGAGGGTTATACATGAATTAAAAAGTCAATGGATTTGTTAGCTCAGTAGCTCCAAGCTTGAGCACCATGGGAGGGATGCCATCCCGGCGGTTACTCTTCCTTACATTGAGGTTTTGCAGCGCCTTTTCAACTTGAAAACTCTGAAGATTCTGAAACTGGAAGCCCTGGTATCCTGTCATCTTCTGCCTAATATTCTGGACACTAGGGTGGGTGGCGAGAACTTTGTTATCAACCGCACTGGTGTCTACAATCCCATCAGCCACAGTAGCAAAATATTCACACAAGTGATTAGAAACCACACGTTGATCTCTACAGATGGTCCCATTGATACTTAAGCTGAGCTCATTTGTGTTAACCTTGGGCTTATCAGTCAGAAAGGGCATAAATGTCTTATAGAACTCACTCGGCTTGCTCTTAATCAGCAGGCTTATGGAGCCATTAATGGTTAAAGTACCAGGTCAGTATACAGAATAACATGGAGATAGGAGCACTTCTAACTTACCAGTCTCTTAATAACACCAGCTACAGCATTAAACCAGTTGCTAGCTTCCATCTGGTGCTCATGTTGAAGAAGAAACACAAGTCCAGAGACTGCTCGAATCTACAAGCAAACAAAAAAGAATACTGTTAACAACTGCTCCAGATAGGTGGAATCTACAGTGTACTTATGTATTTACTATTTAAACAAGAAATTTAAAAAAATTAAGAGGTCAATATAGCAGTTCAGAAACAACATACAAACAGTGTAGTCCCATTTAACTTCGGAAGCTAAAAAGGTCTTCTTCTCGATACTACAGGTAAAAACTGCATAATTTGACACAATAATTTCTTCTGATGTCAGAAACAAAGCAGCAAGTTCCAGCCAAGATCTCTCATAACAGTAACCAGAAAGAAATTGAAGTAAATTCCACCACATTTTGCTTGTGTAATAACACTAATTGTTTGCAGTCTTTTGTCATGCCTTCCAGAAACCCTGACCAAAATTACCCCCTTTACTTAAAGCTGTTTGAATGCACGGAGTTGTAATGCCTGTGGTATCAGCCGAAACATTATTTACTGAAAGTTTGTGCCAATATTGTGGCTTAAGAAAACAGCCCAAATTTTGCAAGGCCACTGCTGGTTTTCCTGACGCATACCTGCCAACCCCCAGGGTACAGAAACCTGGAGACATCTTGAAATCTTTGCATTGTATGAATGTCATTTTCGACAATGTCTGAATAATCTCCAAAAATCACCTGAAGGCCGTCCGAATGTTCCCGACGTAACAACGACGAGAACAGCACGCAGAAACCACGCCAACTTTCTACCATGTATTGTTCAATCTGATTGGTTGATTTCTGACCAATTACGACAATCACTCGTTAATTATATAGTATGTCAACTTGATTGCTCTGTTTTAAGTTTTCCAATAGAAGTGCACTAAATCCACTTCCTGTTTTATTTTCCTTTTTGACATCTTGAAAATAATGAAATTCAAGGAATAATTTTGAGAAAGGCCACGGTAGGTATTTCCCAGGAGATTTGGTGCTCTAACCGGAAAACCGGGAGATTTTTTTAAAAACTTGGAGAATCCTGGGAAAACCAGGAGAGTTGGCAGGTATGCTGACGTCTGAGGAACAAGCACAGAAATTCTATACTTATGACAGTGTCTGTCACTCTCCATATATGGGTAATGCTTCTGACTGGTTGAAACAAATTTCCCCCTCAGCACAACCAATAAGAAGCATTACCCAGAACTGGGTAGTGACAAGTCATCAGCATGGAAAATTCTACGGTCATTCTTCAGACATGGCCTCCGCTGCAGGCCTCTGCTCTCCTTTTAGTAATAGCCACACTCCCTTTTGTTCTCTAGAACAGGACAGTGATGCCTGACCAAGAGACGGTCTCAGATGTCATTTTGCAGGGAAACAAAAGGTGTCATCAGGCTACCCTGTACGCAAATTATTAGCCTCACTTGCGTAATAGCAGCAAATAATCTGCAATGCGTTTTTCGCCCTGGGGGCGGGGGGGAGGTCTCTTATATACGCTATATAGGTTTGTGTGGCAGCAAAGGGTATGGTTTTTTAGCTGTTTTGGTCTGAAGTTTTGGCAATAAGATCATTTCCCTTTTACTGTTTACGCCAACCGTGTACATGCTCTAACAGCTTGTCACAAGCTCCGGTCATGCACCGGGCTACAGGGCTTCAGGTCTGAAATAGGGTGGAGAAAATCACAGATTTTGGTCTGAAATAGGGTAAGGGTTTCAGGAAGTGTGCTGCACACCCCACCCAATTTTTCTGGAAGTACCCCATGGGGTTTTTCATTGTACTATATACACAAATGGGGGGTCATTGTGCCAGGCATTCCTTGCGGAGACCATGGAAACTGGAACTAAGAATCATTTTGTGATCGAAGCCCCACATGTTTTGCGAAGAAAGCTTAGGAAATAGATTAAATTTAGAACTTTTCCGAAACATGTTGGTCCACGAGTTCTATCAGTTGAAAGCACTGATTACTTTGGAACAAGTGAACACTACTGAGTGGTGAAATAAAAATAAGAATGTTAATTAGCAAAACTGCGATGGTCAGGTGTTGTAAACTTTCATTGTTTGCAAATGGTCTTGTGATGAGCATGCGATTTATTTTCGGCGATGATTGAAATGACCTGCCTTGTAAATCACTTTTTTGATCTCTGGCAATGATGTAATTTCTCTGGAATCGAGGTCCTTGAATTTTCATGTATTTATACACACGTGTAGCCTGCGACAGCAGACGTATTTTGGGTCATCGCTAACACGTGTACTAAATCAATTAAGAAACCAACAAAAAGTATCGATATTGATAAAGTAGGAAGTAAAAAACCTTTAGAGAGTAATTCCTGTTTCTGGTAGAATTAATCGCCTCCTCATTTCTCGATCTAATCTCCAAGAAAGCGAGACTGAATGCTGCTGTAAGCGCGTTATTATTTCTTACCAGAAAGTTAGTGCACTGAACCCAAACCCAACAATAATGCCAGAGTGGGACCAAAACAGCTTCTTTATTGTATAATTATTTTAACTGTTTGTAAAATTAATTAAATGTGTATGTACCTGGAAAGCATTTTTCTTCTTAGTTGTTGTAGTTGGAGCCCATTCTAATGATGCACCTTGTAAAACACAGGTACTTTCTGGTTTACCATGGGGAAGGCCAGGTTTCTTAGAGACAAAACAGAGCACAATTTCAGGGTTGTCATTAAGAGCCGGGGGCCGGGGATTTTCCCCAGCTACTAAGAGAGTGACCCCCGGCTACTTTTATTGGAAAATAGAAGAAAAATAGAACCAAAAGAAATCCCTAGCCGTTTGATTCCCCGTCTACTTGTTGTATTTAACCGGCAACTTGAAATCTTAGTGACAACCCTGCTCTTTATTCTCATGACTATTATGTTGAATCTTGGGTACATCACTAACATGCTAAAGGAAATGTCTATGTGCTAAAAATGTCAGTTGGAAGCGATATTATTGTGATGTTCCTGTGTGTGAACTCCAATCATTTCTTTTGGCTGAAAAATGTTAGAATTATTGTTATCCAGGAAAATGCCTGCAACCTTAAGGCCTTATCTTGCAAAAACTGAGGACAAACTTTGTAATTTCAATCGAAAGTGCCACCAAGTTTTTAAGCAGTATGTCTACCATCCTACCTGGGCAGCTGCTTTTTGGTCCTTATAAAACACCAGATTAGATGAGAACAGGATAACAAAGGTAGGAGTCCAGGACATTTTCCTGCAAAATTGAGGACAAGAAAAAACTGGTAAACTATCATTCAATTAACTCTGTAATTGTAAGTATAACACTCAAATAAGACTTAAGCTGGCATTCTCTACCAACCGCAGTTTGATCATAAAGCTCACTTACTTTACTTTCTTTCCACCTCCTTCAAGGAGTTTCTTCCGATTTAACACTCCCTGTTTTTCTACCTCCTGAAACTGGAAAAACAAGACAGCAGCACTTAAAAATTCAGCCGTTAATATTTTATCACTTTGAAGAAGCATGAAAAAGGAAAACATTTCTGTTTAATGGGTACCATACTCAGTGACTATTTAACAATTATTCCTCAAGCCCGAATGGGTTCTGAGTCAATAGCCCATGAGGCCGAAGGCCAGGTGACCAGTTGGTCAAAAATATGGAGACAAAACAACTTTAGCTGGTTAAAGCTAGACTTTAATCCTTTTTTGCCGCCAAAAAGCCGGCACTTTTCGCTACTAGTGGACTGTTAAATATAGCCTAGTAGTGGCACAACCAATCAGAATGCACCATTGATAATAGACCACTAGCTGCATTTTACCAGTATCAAATATCGCTCAATGCATAAATGCTGGCAGTATACATGTGCCAAATAAAATTAACATCATAACAGTTGGCTCATTTGATCAAGTCAATTTGTTTTGGATAGCTTGTTAAAGAGTAAACTAGACCATTCAAATTAAACACAATAAAGCAGTCCTTCCCATTAAATGACTTGTAAGTACTCACAAAATTAATAGATGTATCTATAGTTGGCGTCGGTGGTGCAGGCCAATTTGAGTCCTCACCACCTGAGGAGACACTTTCTCTAGACTGAACTGATGCTGACCTCTCATGAAACTGCAGTAACGAACAAATAACACTGGTTTAACAGGGGAGAACCTAGCACAACTATACAGGACTTAACAATAAACTTTGTAATACAAAGTAATCATTATCATACCACATCTTTGGGCAGGGTGTTACTGAAGTTAACTAGTCCATAGTAGTTGTGTAGCTGGCCTACCAATCCCCCTTTCAAGTAATTTCTACTATTTCTTGCAAATGTGCATGCTATTCAGGCAACTTGTACTAAAAACATGTCATACAACATACTACTAGCCTCTGGCTATTGGATAGCACTTCTATTGCACCCTTGAAGTACCATGTCTGTTTTTACCTATCAGCAAAGCTCATTCCTGCTCCTTCCATCAAATGAATATTAATCCTCACTTTCAAGAAAGTAAGGTTACAAAGGTTTCAAACTTCCACTAACGTGTACAGTACATATAACATGCTCCATGTCACACAGGAAGTTAAGTTATCAAACTCTGTTGTGGAAGGTTCCTGAAGCATTGACACAGAGGTATTTTGCCTTAGTATATACTAAAACAGTGGAAAGTGTCTTTCACATGCTCTGATATTTGGCTACTGAAACTCAAGATATCCAGTGCTATTCACTAATTCATCTCCAGGCTCCAAGCAATGCCAAACTTCCATAAGTTATGAGCAACTGGCCCCCCAGGTTTGTTCACAAATAAAAAAAGAAGCTGTTCCCGAAAAACAGAAAGAAGGCGGCGAAATTCAGTTTGGCAGTTTTTACAGGTAAAGCTTTGTCTGTTTAACCTGAATTTATTGATGAAACAGGTGAAAGTTTCTTGTTCGCAAATGCAAATTCAGTCTTGCATTACTTTTATTAGCTAACAAGTTCATAAATAACTAAATCAACTGTGTTTTTTTTACAGAAAGAATTTACAACTCTTTTTAAAGAAATGTCTCCACCTTGAAAAGTTTTTATATTCATCGGCAAGAAAACGTGATGGCCGCTTGTTCACATGCACACCAAAAATGTAATTGTTGGTGGCAATCAATGAGATAAAAATCATCATTTTAGGCTCAATTATCTGACTCACTGTTTTAGTATATACTAAAAACAATATTATTGACCTCAGTTGGCATTGGAAAATTATCCACCACTAGCCACCTCCACTTTCGGTATTGTTATCTGTTTTCTAATCTAGAAAACACCAAAATCATTACTTGTGCCCTTTTGCACTGCATGGGCTCTTTGAAATTTCCACCACTTGCTACTGTACAAAACACATAAGGAATCCATCCAGTGATAAGTGGGTTGAGAAATCAAATCACGTTTAAAAAACTTTATTACACATAAATAATTAATTGTGCAAAGTGAATATACAGAAATGACTGGTAGGGGAATTTAATTCACTACATAAATAGATAGACAAGACTTCATAGTCTTGCAGAAAGGAAAAACTGGGTTTGAAATTTCAGGTCTATAAAACAACATCTCTAGGACCACTTTATCATAATAAATTCCTAAGTTTCTTCTTCCTGCCATCTTACAACACAGTGTTACCTGACAGGCCTTTAAGAGCAATAAAGGATTTCTTAAAACCCAAAGGACAATTCCAATGTAAACAGTAAACAATGTATACAATAACTTTAACTTACACCAAGAATGCATGGATGAGCATTGTTGAACACAAAGGTTAGAACAACCACGAAGAAGCAAATGAAAGCGTATTATCGGAACAAGAGGAAGATAAAGCAAAAATTATTACAGGTGAGCAAACATGCATTTCCCAAGTGCAAAGTGCAAGTACATGTCAGACGCAAAGCAGGACTGTGCAAGACGTCTGCAGCAATAGCATGACGTATGAAGCTAACCAAGAGCTAGACTCACCATGGGGGGTGGGGGATAGCCATGAGCAGCTGCGGAAAAGGGGGCGGTAATATTGGTTTGAGAGTTGCGAGGACTTCGCGTCTGCAAAGATAAGCACCTGGAGTTTCTAAGACTGAGATTTGGTGAGCGCCTTCTATAGGTGACATCCAGAGCTTCAAAAGACTGCTGTGTTGCAGGCTCAACCTGCAGTGGAAGCATTTACACCAAGAGTGCTAATTGTTAATTACATTAATTTAACAGGCTAGCATATACTATACAACAGTCAAAGAATATATATCACAGACTGATAAATAGAGCTACAATAATTTACTTTAACCATAGAGTAGCTTAAACTATAGATACCAAAGGCAAATAACAAAGAATAGATCCAGTACTGTACAATGCAAACAGCACATGGTTAAGTTCCTGTAAAAAGTGGATCAGCCAACAAAATTGCTACATACAGGACTTTCTGGGCATAAACAGATGGCAATAGCAAGTCTAGAATACAACTGGTCTGCATATTGCATATGGCATAAATTACTATCAGAAAAAATCAAGAGTGCAAATTTCATTAAGGAGAAAGATTCCAATATGTTTGTTAGACAATGGATTTTATTGCACCTGTGTAAACTTTATTTGTGGCTACATTGGATATTCTTTTCTTTTGCTTACAAAGAGACAGCAGTGTAATAGGAAAATCTTCCAGAACATGCCTAAAACACAGTCATTCTTATGGAACATGGCTGCAACAAATGCACACTTGACTGTCAAAAATAACCTAATCATGTAAATAAACAAAAAAATGCAACTATACTGTAGTCAACGGTTGAGCTTTTGTTGAGCATCAGTTAAACTGTTATTAAAACTGTATGTTATCTTACCTCAGGTAGTTCCCAACGAGAATCTTCCCCATTTAGTTTGTAGTAATAGACTCGCCCTTCACTGTCTTTTGAAGGCACCCACTAAAAGACAGATGCAAGTTACACTGTGGAATACTGTACCAGCATAATAAAATACACAACCACATTGCAGTCAGTATCCAAAGGTCCTTAAACGTTATTATCAGACTTGCAAAACAAAAAGAAAGTGAAACTTTTCCTTCCTTGGAAGCTAAGTAATTTAAAATAATTAGTTTGGGTATTAAACAATATTATTGTTCACATACGTTGAGGTTTTACCTCACAGTGTATTACATTCATTCACTCTTTCCATGATAGTATTGTACTCTAGAGCTTAGCTTGTGAGCAAGCTGTCTGGGGTGCTCTGGTGGCGGGCACGAAAAGGAAGGAGAGCTTGCAACTACGTCTCTAAAATTTGAATATCTGTATCAAAAAAGCCAATGTGAAATGCTGCATTACGGAATCGCGCCTGTAGATAAGCGTCGTTAGTAAATGCAAATTTTTCTGTCAATCAAATGTGTCCTATTATTTGTAGGTGGAAATTGGTAAAACATCGTTATTGTTTTGGAAACAATAGAAGAACAAAAGATAACAGAAAGATCAGGTTATGTGGTCTTAAAGCGTGTTGCATGACTTAAATCAGTTGGAGCATTTCTCCTAGCTTTCCCGCATTAAAACGTTGGAATGAAAAGTCTGAAGCTTAGCTTTTAAAATCTTGATAGCCAAAATAAAAGGGGTGCCCCAAAAGGCAAGCATTTGGGAATTCAAAATCGATATTTTTGTCTCCAGCGAAATCTGGCGGATGAACAGTAATTTGCATATAAGCGTAAGTGAAGCGAAATAGAATACAAATTGCCGTGGTTGTAAACACAACGTTTCCTCGAAGTTTTTTTCCTTTTGTTTTCTTTAAACAATGAACGTATGCATAATTAATGTATGGGGTTATACGGAAATCTTGCCAATAATATAAAATGAAACGAATCAAATCGAAAAGTGGTAAAAAAAAAGTCAGGATATTTCAATTCGATGGAAAGTAAGTGATTAGGTAGGTGATTTGCATACTGATAAAAATAACTTCTAGCGCAGTTCAAAACCGTTCGGCTTCCTGAATTGTTTTCCTGGAATTCTTTACATTCTGCTGGCCTAAATCGTTAAAATATGTTATGAAGTCAAAATAAAGAATCAATTTGAGCGTTTGTATTTCCTTATAAAACAGAGAGTTGCGCGAAAGCTTCGATCTATAGATTTTCTTAAGTTAAATTACCTTTGTATCATGGAAACAATACCCTAACACTTGAGTCTTGTATCAAAGGACGCGACAAGCGTCAGCTCCCTTTGTGAGCGCGCAAATAGTGATGGGACCCGCGATTTTGCGGGCGACACGGATCTACAGGCGCGTTCTGTAATGGATTGGTGGAGATGACATTACAGTGTAGTAATGACGTCATAACCCTTAGCGCGTGTCGCATCAATGTTTGTTTGCATTCGCGCTCATTTCTGCTTCCTGCTGATTGGCAGAAATCTGACAGCTCAGTCGAGGAGGAGCCACAGGGGAACTGGAGGCAGAATTCAAATTCCAGAGGCACAGTTGTAAACTCTCCTTCCTTTCCCAGCCCTGCCCCAGAGTGCCCTGAAGAACTTGCTTGCAGGCTACCTAGAGGTCAACCCAGGTTCCAGTACCAAGTACACTGAAATCACTGAACTCAGTTCAGATCCTTGAGCATGCTATTGCACCACCACTACCAAGGCCTAAAGGTACCTTTTTAAAGAATACCACTCTATTAAGTTAAGATACTTACTTCTTCATCATTGTATTCATTGACATAAACCAGTTCATCGGTAGAACTGCTACGTGATATCCGCCATCCTAAGGGAGGTGTCTGCCACTACAAAATTAACATCATAAAACGAGACATTAACATACATATATAGTTCAAGAATATACGTTGCACTGCAAACTAGGATCATTTATAGCAGAAAAACAAGATCACTGTTTTTCCATGAACTGAACCATCCTTTCAAAGCATTTTCCATTGCCAATGTTTTAACTCAAACAAGAGAAGTTAATCAAACAATGACTCTTTGGGTTTTGACCTTTAATTTTCCATCCAAACAGAAAGAAAAAACACAGGCCACTAGTTACCATTAAGTAAATTAGTCACCACCTCATCCTCTACATAATACACCATGATCTATGTGACCATGCACTCTTTAAACATGAAAAATAATAAACAACTGCACCTTTCATAACAAAGATTGCACTAAAAAACAAATAATTACAACAAACTTGTTGACAGGTAATAAGAAAAGCATAGACAACACACTCATTGATTTTTATGCAAGTAATTTAATCAATCAATATACTGGATTAACATCAGTATTAGTAAACAGAGTTTATTATTCATTCAAAATATTTCCCCGATTCTGATTGGCTAAAAGCACACGTTTAATTCACCATGACCAGTTACTGATAACCAAATTTGGAAGAATTTTGACTTTAACAAGGAAAGGACGTCAAAAATGCAGAAGAAAAAACCGAGAAGACCTGGGGATGAGTTCGAGTTGTTTTGGTTGTGAACTTGAAAAAATGGCAGACATTTCACTCGTTTCAAGAGTAAGAACTTGGCGAAAAAATAGCTAAAAACATGGCAAGAACAGCAAGAAGACAACTCGAAGGGCGACATCTGCTATTTGGAGAATATTTGCGGAGCTGGACAAACCTAAACGTACACTATCGAAGATGAACTGAACATCGAAGGATCGATGGAGGTAACCATGTTTTAGCTATGTTTTTAACCCATTCGCTCCTGGAGATTTTGCCGAAAAAGGCGTTTTTAAGCTAGTCAACTGGTTTTCAGGTCACTGTCATGCTATAAAGGGCTAAAACTTACCACAAACCGGTTTACTGGTCGTACACTTTGCGGCCTTCTGATCCAGATGCAAAATATCCACTTGCGAAGTTCGGCATGCGCAGAAAGCAAAATTTTGAGATAGTTTTTGGGTTTAAAAGTGACACAGCAGTCTTGACTTTTACTTTTCGCTTTCTCTCCTTCCCTCTTTTTTCGCTTTTCTTGCCTCATTTTTTTTTTCTCTTGCTGGGCATTTAGTAGGCTTCATTTTGGTGGGAAGAGTTTTTAGGAAATCTTTTAGGATCTTAGGATTAGGTGAAAGGAAAGGTAGGTGAGCAATGGAACAAGATTTTCATGGAGATTTTCAGGTCAATGTCAAGTGGTTTTTTGCTTCTTTCTCCAATGTCCTTGACTGAATTGTGCTCATTCTGGTATGGCTTGAGAGGTCTCTTCACTCTGCACAAGTTAGCGAACAAAGTTGTCCTTGACTGTTAAAACTGATGACATCACAAAGAGTAGAGAGGGCATGGATCCGCACGGGCGGGGGTTACAGGCGGTTCAGGGGCGAATGGGTTAAACTAGGAATGATTTTGAATGAATAATAAAACAGTTATTGAATTCGGCTTTCGTATCATATGAAGGATTGTGGAGATCTCGGAGGGTGTTATCCGCCTAGGCCGATAATACCCTCCTCGACCTCCATAATTCTTCATAAGATACTCAGATTCATTCATTAACTGTTAAATATCCTTACCCCAGGGCTAGGTGGTGGAGTTTTAGCACGTGATATTCTTGGTGGTTTCCAACTTGTTTCATTTGTCTTGGAGTTCATATAACAGGGCCGACCACTTGCCTCGTCAGTAACTACAACCCAACCAGGAGGGAGTGACAACGACTTGGGGCGTTCAGGTTTAGTTATTGAAAAGCTGCCACCTGGACGGGCACCACTCTACACAAAGATATTCAAAGTTACAAGATGTTAATAATATCGCTCGTGATCATTTCCACAGCTCTGACACAACTGTCTGCTACTTGGAATTTATGTTTTCTTTTTTCTCATTGAATGAGATTACCATCAAGTTATATCACTGTACAGCTGTATCTACATTGTATCACTCAACAAATAATAACCCAAGGACAATCCTGCCAAATATCTAAATTTGTCACCAGTGCATCCTAACGATTGCATTAGCTGTCTTATTGGCACTTAATTTTGCGGGGAACTTAATTTAGCGATTTTGGCAAGATAGTAGTATTTCACAGAGTTTTATTTTTGCAATTTCAAAGAGCAAATATGAAAAAGGGCATTAAAATTTACAACTCAAGTATTCTTAACTTGATTTTATTTTTCAATCTTCTGCAATTTTTAAAATATCGAGATAAAATGAAACAAGAAAAACGCATATTAACATTATTTCCCAACAGAAGACACAGTCACGGAGTGGAATGTACCAGTGAAACCAGCCTGTAATTGTTTTGTTGATATTTGTGGACACGAATAACCTGTACAGTGTATGCTGTAGTTATTAAATGTTATTCATTTTTTCCTGTGATTTGAATTTTTTATATGGGTAATACATTTTGCGTGTTTAATTTCACAGGGCCTTTTATTCGTGGGTGTTTAATTTTGCAATGTTTCCTAAATCATGAAAAACCTGAAATTAGGTACCAATAAGGTATTACATTCAAACCAATCATTCTGAACCATACTAAATTTTGTACTTTTCTGTTCAGCACTGATATCAATCCTGTATTTGTAAACTTAACAGCGGACTAGTGCTAACTTGGCTCTGGTCAGGTGTGATTCTTAACTCTATTATGTTTCATTTAATATTACTCTTTGCATCATTTATTTGCTCAGCCTAGAAGTACAGTGATATCATTGCATTGGTAAAATAATAGAAATTAATAATAATAATAATAACATATTTAACAGGAGCTGTCTCAAGAAATTTATCAAAAATCCTACAGTGGAAACTGTCAGTGCAAAAAAATCACTGAAAACATGAAAAGAAGGAATAAATACTACAGTAAACACAAAAGGAAGCACAGATGTACAAACTTAAAGAAGATTCAAACGGATTGCAATGTGTTTGAAAAATTGTAAGCGTAACAGTTTTTCAAAGTTCAAGTTTACTGTTTGTAACGTTTGGTCTAATGCTTGGGACACAAAACTGTCAGCTGCATTATGTTCATAACAAAAGAGAGCAAAACAATACTGTATCACTGTAAAACTAAGGAGTAAGAATCTGGCTTATTAAAATAATTACAGGATTATGGAGGGCAATTTTATTTTTCATCAAGATTCTAAAACATATTCGCCAGATCAACAACCTTCTCATCATGGTGAAACAACTGTTTACAGTACACGAAGAATTGATTTGTTCAATAACATTTTGTTTTGTTTTGTTGTTTTTTAAAAGAACTTTAAAACATAAGGACTAATTTTGTACGACATTTCTTGGCTTTTATGTCCACAGGAAAATTGTAGACTACTTAAACAAAACAAAACAACAATTAACCCCAACGTTCATGTACATGTAACAGCCTTCGTGTCCTACATCGAATTAACAGCAACTAGCATCTGAATATAAACCTTTTGTATTAGGTATCAAATTCTATTGATTTATCAACAGGGTAACAAAAGCTACTTCTATACGAACACAATACCAACACAGAATATTAATTGCAACGTCTGCGCCAGATGCAAACAAGCCAAATCACAAAATAAATCACCGTAAAATAGTCTTACCTTCTCTAGAGACCTCGCTAACAATTTTGCATTTGACAGAACGCTTCCAACACCATTGGAATCGTCTGAAACAGGGCATGTATCATCTAAAATATAGCAGGTATCTTCGCCGTTATTTTCAGTGCCTATGTTTACGCTTCTGTTGTGATTTTCAAGTTCATTGTCTTGGTGGATTGCTGTCTCTCCATTTGATTCATTTTTGTAATCTCCCCGTTCAGAGCTTTGCCCATTTTCTGTCCTCGCGACAGCCTCGCCATTCTGAGGGCAAGTAATTTTAAATTCGATATTTTCGTAAATAGGAATAGTTATTTCTTTCATATAAGTGGCAGGAACGTACATGGGTTTTTCACTTCCCTTTCTAACTTGCCACCAATCTCCGTTTGTCTTGTTCAGTAACGTAAACCTATCTCCGGCCGAGAAAGAGATGACTCTCCCGTCGCCTGCTTCGTACGAATAAGGATATAGTGCTTCAACGGTTCCATTAGCCATTTTCAAGCCAAGGGTTAATTTCTTCCACTTGAGGGCAACTTTATCGACCCTTCATCAGTTCATTCAGGGCCTCTAAGAATACCATTGATCACGTCTCGTAGACGTTGTTCATTGAGTACGAGGCCACCATGTCGACGAAAGCAGTTTTCACGTAACTCGAGCAACGCAGCTGAAAATCTTGCAATGGAGAAATTCACTTAATTTTCCACAAAACGAAAATAAAACCATTCAACGCGTTACAACTTTAAACATTCCACAACCAAGGAAACGGGGCCATGTTCACGAAGCTTTCAAAACCATGTAGAGTGAAACGATAAAGTAAATACGTCAATGCACCCACTCATTAGCTTTGATGAAAGTTTTATAGATGCAAAGGCCTCTAAGCGTAAAATTTCCGCAATTGTAGAAGTAGAAAACCGCCAAATCCCTCCTAAAACAGGGGTCAGCTTATATTTCACACGACGATTTGCTTTTACCTCGTTTCCAAGCGAAAATCAAGGGGAAAAGACGAGAGAGGACTAGACCGAGTGAAAAAAGAATCCGGAAAGCGAAACCTGCACGGACATTTCGCGGAGTCGCTCGAGCGTGATGATGAACCAATCAAAAACCAAGCAACAAAACAACAAATCTTCGTCAGATTTCCCGCGTTTCCAGGAAAGGGACCGGAAATGCTCAACTTCCCTGGAAGGGAGAATCCCTAGTCGTATTTTTGGATTTTGACGGGTTTCGGATACACTTATTTCTACCAACGCGTGGGCGATGAACTTGTTACACTTTCTCTGACCTCGCAGAAGAGAGATCGAATAGTTTTGAGCAAACTGAAGAGTTACAAAATTGGCAGCGATTCTCCTCAATTAAATTACTATGGATCCTATTCACAAAAAAGTTCTTGCAAACAAGACTTCTGAGATAATGAAAAGGGTTTCAAATCCAGGAATGTTAGTCGCTCATCTTAAGACGATATTTAGCGCTGCTGACACAGAGGAAATCCAGGCGACAACTTCGAATCGGGGACCTACCGCCGGAACACAAACCTTGCTTAGTATACTAGAGAAGAGAGGAGCAAAAGCATTTTCGCTGTTTTTACACGCTTTGCGAGAGGAAAAAAATGAAGAATTGGCAGAGGAATTGGAGGAAGAAGAAAGGAAACTACGAGGAAAAGCAGGTGAGTTATTGATGCATATGAAAACTGATCAAAATTTGCAAGCTACTCCAATAGTCACGCTAAGTGTTTATCTCAAGTAAGGTTAAAATAATTACACCTTTACACGACACCCACGCTAAACACGGAAATTGTCAAAGTTACGTATACACTGCTTTGGACAAAAGAAACAAATTTAGCATTTCCAAGGAAAAGAAAAAGCAGAATGATTCCCTGAGCAAATCGGTTATTTGTCATTGCTTTTTAATAACGAACAAAGGGCCGGGCGATTTGTGCAGAAAGGGTGTAAATTCGCCTAAGTGGGAGAGGGAGCGGGGGGCTTGCTCATCCAGATCGTAAGATTGAAGGGGCCTTGAAAATATTATCTTGTGACCCCTGAGGGCTTTAATTTTGCCTAAAAATAAGGTGGGGTCCCAGCCGGTCCCCTATCCTAGATCTGCCACTCTCTTGGGTTTGGTAATATGTATGACAATATATTTATGATTCTATTTTATCATTTGGTTCGCAGTTAAACCACCACAACAAAAAAGTATTTTTAATATGTTACCAATCCATTTTCTAAAATGATAGTCACAGCTGGACACCCATTCATTCCTTGGAAATTCACAAGATTTTGCAAGACACATATTTCTAGTCAATTCCCAGTGATGTCCAGTTCTGCTCATTTTTTTATGTGCACCACGAGTACTAGTGTAGCACTACCTTGCCAATACATCCTGCCTCTTATAACATAACTCCATCAACTGTCAAGTAAAATTTCAGACTATTTTGATTAATTTCCAGTGAGAAGAGGGAACAGCTTTCCACAATCCAATGACAATGAAAACAATGACTTCACAGTCCGTTCTCCTCCTCCACCATACTCGGCACCAGCAGGAAGCAGCCTTATAACATATGACTATAGCGTAGAACAGCAATCACTCAAGGCTGGACAGAAACCAGATGTGGAGATCAATCCATTGCATGAAAATTCATCAGCCACCAACAAACAGTTGCTTAAGCAGAATAAAGGTATTACCGAAGGTAAGCCCACCTGTTATATATACACTGGAACATGAATGATCTCCCTTTGTCCTTTAATAGCACACTAAAAAGGAAAAGAGAAGGTTTACCTACCAAATGATTCTATATCTTATCACCTGAGTGCAAAGAAACAATTTTTTACTTAATGTGTGTAATTTCTGGTTGTAGAGAAAATAAACAGTTTAAATTTGAAGCTTTTACTACTATCCCTGGCCAGAAGCTGCAAGTTAATTTTCCTGTTTCATTTTATTTTAATTTTCAATTTTGTTTTGTTTTGTCTTTTTTTGGCCACTTTGCCTTTGGCATATGGTGATACAGCCAGTATTTGTTTTTGGTTGCTACACAAAAACTGTATTAATTAACAGCCAACATCATTCTTTACTTTTCTGTTGACCAACATTGCAATACACAGAATTGTGCACACAAAACTCTTTCCAAACTGTGTGAATCCTATGTCATGCAACATGCCTGCATTAAATTTATTAGGCACTAACTGGTAACTACCATTTTGAAAATCCCCTTTCAGCTTTTGGTTATTTAAAAGAACTTATTTTTCCAGGGGTAAAAACTACACCAGGTAAATTATTTTTTGTTTGATATAATCCAGGTTCTCTTGTTAAGGACATTCCTTTTGCAATACGCACAAAGATTGAGCGGATGATGAACGTCAATAACCATAATGATCATAACTGGAGAGGTCTGGCTGCAGCCATGAATCTGTCAGTTGATGATGTTCGACAAATGGAGGAAGGAGAAAAGGGGAAAATGGCAGGACTCTTTGATAACATGATTCATTTGAAACAGACAATCAAAGATCTTCTTGATCTTCTCAGAAACCAAGCTGTACAGAGACTAGATGTTATAGATGAGATTGTACAGGGTTGTCATCTTCCAAAAAACCTTTCTGAGAGTGACAACTCTGAACTCCATGAAACAGGTTGGTTTGTAGGCAATTAATTGGTTATTATAAGGGTAGAGTGATATAATATTTTTTTGTAATTTTACAAGGCTATGCAAAAGAGCAAATGTCATTTTCATTTAAAATAAAAATGTCTTACTAGACATTTTTTGGCAGTGTTTCTATTATTTATTTATAACAGTAAGTTATAAAACGCTGTGAAGCAAAGGCAACGTATAAAGAGTAAATGTGGCATCAATAACCACCTAATTTCACTGAAGTGGTATTGGAATTAATTTTTGCTCGCAATAAGCACTGACTGTTCCACTGTAACTTTACTGATGTCACTGTGCCATTTAGAAGTAAGTTGAGACTTGATACTAGCAAGAATTGAGCAAAAATCAAGGCAGATATAGATTCCAGATTCTTGATGATTGGTTCTGATAAAACATTCCCTATAAGAAACAGACTTGTTAAAGTATAAAGTTTTGAGCAAGTGTCTTCTCCCTCAGTAGCTTTCAATCCACAGAGTGTGTAATCTAATAGTTATCACAAGGATGCATTATGGCAACCTCCTCGAAGAAGCTGCAGTTTCGGACAATACAGTCAAGTAAAAATATTCATAAAATTGATGGACACCAATGAATTTTTTTAATACTGAAAAAAATCAATAATTTTTTCGTAGATTCTTCATCAAAAGCCACTTCATTACCATACTCAGAACAAGAATCACAGGAAGCTAAAGCTGGGTATGACACCAAACCAGATGCTCGAAGTCCTTGTCAAATTGAAGATGATGATGATCCCAAAGGCAAGGAAGCAGTGGCTGCTAAACCAGATGCTCGCATTCCCTGTCAAGAAGAAGATGACCGTCCTAATGGAAAGACAGCATCGGATACAAAACCAGATGCTCGTGTTCCAAGTCAGGTTGAAGATGATGATGATCCTAAAAACAGAGTCCAGTCAGATTCCAAACCAGATGCTCATTGGCCAAGCCAGGTTGAATATGACGATGATCTTAAAGACAGAGCACAGTCAGATTCCAAACCAGATGCTCATTTGCCAAGCCAGGTTGAATATGATGATGATCCTAAAAGAAGAGCATTGTCAGATACAAAACCAGATGCTCGAGTTCCAAGTCAGGTTGAAGACGATGATGATCTTAAAAGCAGAGGGCTGTTGGATACCAAACCAGATGCTCGTGTCCCTAGCCAAGTGGAAGGTGATGAAGACCCAGCATTGAGCAGTAGGACTAAACAAGCTACTCAGATGCCCTACCAAGGTGATGATGAAGATGATGTATTTGAGAGCAAAGGTAATAAAGGTGATCTACTCATAGTGCTCCTGAGAACTAGGTCATTTCCTGACAACCATGAGTATTTTTTTCATCTTTCTTCAAGCAGTAAAAATGAAAATTAAGAACCAGTGGTACTAGAAGCCTCAATAGGGCCATATTATAAGATGCGTCTTACACAGGACGTGTCTTAAATAAGACACAAACTTTCTGTATAAATGGCACATTTCATCTAGAATAAGACGCAACTTAGCTTTTAAGATGTGTCTTATTTTAGGACGGCTCTTAACACCTGTTCTTAGATGAGACGCATCTTAGCTAAGATGAGAAAAACTTTGTATAATTGACCTTCGGATCTTACATATGACGCAAACGCATTATACGCAGGCATTAATTTTTGGCACGCCATGTTGGATTGCTGTTGCTACGGGTAACATTCACATGAAAACAAGTCAAGAACAGAAATAAGACACAAACCATTTATATGAGCTGTTTTCATCTTAGGTAAGACATGCTCATATAAATGGTACAGTTCGCATCTTATGTAAGTCGTGTCTTATTTTTCCTCATATAAACGGCCCTATTGTTACTGCCAAAATAGTGTCTAACTAGGATAGCCATGAATTCACCACTTTAGAAATGAGATGGAAACTGGGCTCAGTAGAGGCTTCTGGGATCAGTATTTATTGGGGACGTGCCATTCAGCTATTGGCCAATTCTTTCCCAGTGTTCCCAGTAACAGTCCGTAAAGTCTTTACCCCACCCAGTAATCTTCTCGTGTTCTAAAGCGGTGAATGGTGGGAGTGAAAAGTTCATAACAAATAAGATCTGATAACATTCATTGTAACTGGTGATATCTTATCTAGAGTGAGGTGAATATTATGGGATATCATTATTAAACTTAAGTCACTATATACATGCATAAATAATGTTTTTTTTTTTCATAACTACATGTACGTTAAAAAAATTCACCAGTAAGCTGGACATAATAAATACATTCTTACTATTCAATAGCCATTCTTGTTAGTGACAATCTTGTTTTTGGCAATCAAACATAACTTTAATACAATCTGTACACTTCACTACCTGTCTACAGTCAGTTGCATTACAGGCAGAGATATTCATTCTTACGTCTATAAACTTATTTTGATTGGCAGGAAACAAGGAGGTTAAAAGAAATGCACTACTGATAAACTGCTTTGGTAGTAGTAAAACTGATAAAATGCACAACAGTCAGCTGCAGGAACTGGAAAATGTGCTTGAAGATTATAACTGGGATGGTAAGTCTTTTGTTGCATGATATTGTGAGTCAGCAGTGAAATTATTTCTCTTTATAACTAGTAAAAATAATAACAACAATAATAAAATAATAACACTTATGTCAGTAATGCTGCAACTACCAGGCTACTTACATTGGTGAAACTGGCAGAAACCTTAGCACCCGACTGACGGAACACTTAGACAATAGAAAGCTCGAAATGCACCAATGACATTACTAGTCTTCAAAGCCAATAACATCATGGCTTAACTAACGAATGACCAATGACATCACAACTTAATTGACAAATCATGTCAATAACCAGAGTTTAATACCATCAACTGACATGAAACAACACACGTTGACTCTGAAGATGACTAGCACACAGGTTGTCAAAATGTCAGTCACTGTCAACAACAACAGTCCTATTCAGGACTACATTCACCCTGACGATCATACTCAACCTACTTATGGAATGACTCCTGGTTTCAAACCTTTCACAATGCCAGCAATAATATACCTGCCAACTCTCACGCCTGCGGGTTGAAAACTTCCATCTCACGCCGACTCACGCCTGCGGGCCAATTTCTCACGCCTGATTGAAAAATGTGAGTCGTTGCCGTCTTGCTTGACATAATTTCCAAAAATATGGTAACTCAGACCCATGTAAGGAACGAAAACCATGTGTAAAATGAATAAATGACAATACCTTCCTCGCGATCTCTGATTTTTGAAGTGAAAAGTGCTGGGAGCGAGCTCGCCTTCGGCAGACTTCAGACGTCTTCGGAAGACTTCGGACTTCTTCGTAAGACTTCGGACTTCTTCGGGAATCTTCGGAAGTGATCGTGTCGTCTTCAAAAATCCCAGCACTCCCAGGATAAAAATCTCACGCTTATATCTCAGAAAAAGTTGGCAAGTATACAATAATAATAATATTATTATTATTATTATTATTATTATTCTCATCATCATTATTATTGTTGTTGTTAATATTATTATTGCCAATAAATTATTATTATTATTGTTATTATTATTATTACTGCTATTATTCATGGGGTTCAACCCATTTTATATGCATGATATGCAAGTGCTTCCGTATTCATGTATTAGATATTGATTAGTGAAGAAAGACTTGAAATAAATTCAAAGCAACGTCGTCATGCATACAATTCACCAATGAATAAACTATTGAGTGTACATGTATAATAACAGCTGACGTAGATATGATATAACATTTAAAGATGACAAATTCTGAATGTAATTTCCCTGGTCCTTAAGGTTTGTTTCTGTGGCTGGTTTTTGGCTAGTTCTCTCTCATGTGGAGAAAATTTTCAAGACAAACCCCTGGGACCAGTATGAGGCCAGTAACTTAAAGTAAACCCTGTTACTTTGTTTATGAATAATTTTATGTTGTTGATATTTTTTTCCTTTTACTACTTTAATTTTGGTACTTTAGTAAAGTGCCACCGCAAATGCAAGGCATCGGAGTTGCTTCAGGCTGTTCACTCATTTCTGGATGCAAACAGTAGCGACGAGTCTTTATCCTTCATTTACCTTGCTGGCCCCACAGTGAATGTAAGTTAGCATTAATGTTTCTTTTTATTATTTTTCTGCCTAGAAGCTCAACATTTTTCATGAAGTCTTGCAAGCAAGCATTATATAGTGAGCGAGTACAAGAAACCTGCACCACAAATGCAAGCTAATTATTAGTAAATGTGCTTATGCAGTGATTGACTTCTACAGTACTCACGCTCTATTAATTTTTGAAATGAAAATGAATGTTGTGCCTTCGGGCCAATCTTTGACAAGAAATTGTGAATTCAAAATGTTTCTCTTTGTTTTCGTATAAGTTTGTCTTTTTTAAATTATGATTTCTGCGGGCTATAAAACTTGCAGTGATTATTTTGTATTTGAAATAAAACCCGTAATTAATTTTCAATCAGTATTAATAAAATGATATATTTTACCTGCGTCATGTTTTTTTTTCCTTGTTTATAGATTAATGGAAAGAATTACCTGCTTCCAACAGATTTGAAATGTCCTTCCTCCCGGGCTGACCTTATGCGCGATGCCCTGGACATCAACTGGCTGGTGTCACATCTAAGCGAGAATTATGTTTGTATTCAAACATCTTGTGTTTTACAGTCTCTCTTGTCATTATCTGACCTGAAATTGAATTTAACACATGAGGTCCAGAAAAAAAAAATTAAAATGACATAGGAAGGGGGCATGCATTATTCACTGAGAACCAGATGAAACAATTCTGTGATCACTGTCAAACCTTATGGCTTTCAAAAGTAGAAATTAAAGAACATTTAATAAGATACAGAATATGGCATTAATTAATTGCATCTCAGTTTAGAAGGTTGTTGTACTTTTAATATTTTCTTTTTCGTAATTTATTTTTGAGCAAGAGTGAGTACAAATAAAGATTGTTGTTGTTGTTAAAGAACACGTCACTTCAACTCCAAACAATAATATTATCCTGAGAGCTGTGTACAAAACAGTTATGTTCTTAACTTTGACTAATATTATTGATGTAGGGACTTTCTTGGTAATAAGCAAATAAAAATGATGATCAGGTCTTGCTCAGTACACAATCTTTACCAGCAGAACTTCTGAAAATGGAATCCCAAATTAAGTTAACAGACAAGAATAATTGAATCACTTGTTGAAATAGGTTGAAATGCATTATATTTATTCTCATTTTTATTCATTTTTATACTCATCTTTTTTTTGTAGATGCAAGTGGTAGTAGTTGATGGTGCTTTTGAAAATGGTCAAACAGACATAAAACTTAAAGGTGTTTTAAAGGGTCTAGTTCCAATTCCTCCTCCACCAAATGCGGTCATTGCGTTTCCCTGTCATCCAGGAACAATTCGTCCAGAACAGGAAAGACTGTAAGTACCATATTATTTTTTATCTTATCAAAATATTTCCATCTTGGAGAAATACCTCTGCAAATCCTTCTCCAAAGAAATAGCTGGGGCATTATTAGCTTGTATTTCACTTCCCTGTAATGTTGAGCATTAGACTTGCCACAAGTTGACTTCACAAGCTTGGCAGGCAGAGCAAGCTTTTTCCGGCCACAAAGTGGTAGATCAAGCTGCTTTAAGATGCTCTTTGTTCTATACTATTTCCAGTGTGATTTTCACACTAAGTAAATTGTACTTTTGTCACTGAAATAGAATGTAATACTATAGAACACCATATTTAAGAATGTAACCTCCCACAGTTACTAGCCATTACTTACTTTGTTACAATCAGGGTTCGTACTTTTTTGAGTTCTTCAAATTCCATGACTTTCCTTGACTTTTTCCATGACCTTTTCTACTTTTCCATGACCTTAAGTTTAGCTGTCAGTTTCTAAAATTTTGAAAATTTTACCTGTTTTACCAAATTTTTGGCCCTTAAACAGTTCAACAGAAAGAAACTCTGGTATCCACCAAAACGATTTCCGTCCGCACTGTTTAATTACTACTTTTTATCTTACGTTATCCTGGCTTGCTTTGTCATCTGCAGTATGACTAATCTACCACACAAAGGTGAAAACGTTAATTTTCCGTGACTTTCAAGGACCGAAAATGAAATTCCATGACTTTCCAGGCATTGAAAATGAAATTCTTAAAATTCCATGACTTTCCAGGTTTTCCATGACCTGTACGAACCCTGACTATAAAGCTTACATCTCAGATTTTTAATGTAAATTTTAATTACTGATAATCAATCCAACATGAGTTTACACAAACTTTGGAAAAAATAATTAATAAAACATTAGTCAGTCTTGTTTGAATGATAAATTGTTAGGGACTTGTTGTCGTTGTTGATGATGTAGGTTATACTTTCAATTCAGTCAGAATAGGAGGCCAGAAGTATTGCTAACCACAAAATTATTTGTATCTTTAATCATCAGAGATTACATTAAATGTTTGTTGGCAAACTTAGAGGATGATCGTATAATGCTATGTGATCTGTTTGACAAAGTCCGAAATGAGTTGATGAAAAAGAATCCAGACTGCAGTGCACCTATAGAGTTTTCACTCAGCTCTTCACTTTTCCCACTCCGCCTCAAGACTGAAAACAATGAAGGTTAGTACCAACCTGGTTTTCTTATCATTTGCAGAACACACTAATCTGCTTTTAATTTTGCTGAGCCATTGTCTTTGCAAACGTGGTAGGGTATTGAACTGCCTCAGATACACAATTCTTCCAACATGATGAAACATTGTCTACCTGCTTTTCTTCTTAAATACTACAACCAAAGTAGAAATTGCTTAACCTTGGTTGTAGCTCAGTAAAGGAACTTACCATTGGTCATAAATGACTGGGCAGGCAGGTCCATTCATACTGTAAATTTCACTATTTTTAAAATCAATCTGGCCGGACCAGTTCTTGATTAAGGTGGCCTGAATCTATTTATTTGCTCGTTGGTTATGTTTTGGAATCAGGTTTTTTGGCAGGAATGATTTAACTGATCTCCATGAGTTTTGGCGTCCTTAATAAAGAATGGTCAAACATTAAGAAAATGCTATTTATTTTCTTACTGGTATAAAAACGTTTGAGATATCAGCATATAATGTTTAAGACCGCATTTTTAGAAAAAATTAATGTCAACAATTTCAAACCCTAGGACAGATTTTTCTCTAACTTCGGCAAATAAGCCTCAGAGCTTTCTTGTTTTTTGCAAGTTTGAAGTCAATAGTGACCGTAGAACTCACTGCACATTTAACCTTAAAATGCAACACTAATATATTTGTGAAAGTTGACAAAGAAATAGAGGACAACTGCCGACGGACTATCTCCTATCTGCAAGGGTATTCTTGCCCAAAGCTTTAGTTGCAAGAAACTGAGTAAATCAGAAACCTATGGCAAATACAGTTCACAATGTAAGAAGAACAACTTTATGCTGAATGCAGGGCAAGATTAAATAACTTCTATTTATCAAAGTTACTGTGTGTTTTCCCTTCTCTTTCACAAAAAAACTCAACAAAGCATGATATAACATCTACGAAAATCTCCTACCAGTTTTTAGGACTGAAGGTTCCCGTCTTGCGGAGATATAAAGCCACCAACTCCAGTACTTCAACCGATCCATTTTCAGCTGCAGCCAAAAACCCTTGTATTAAGTAATTTACTCAAGTTTGAAAGATTTGCCATCACATTCGCACGGGCATTTTGCCATTAGGTATAATGAAAAGAATAAGACGATTGTCATATTTTCTTCATCTTAATCCCCAACTGGCAAACTTCGCGTGCGAATGTGATGTCAAGTCTAAAAACCTTGAATAAATTATCAAGTACAAGGGCTTTCAGTGCAGCTGGAAAATAGACGGTTAGAAGTACTGGAGTTGGTGGCTTTATTTCTCCTCAAAACAGAAACCTGCGACGCTAAAAACTCTTGAGAGTTTTTCGTAAATAATATAATTTGCCTTGTTACGATAGATTTTGAAAAGAGAGGGACAAATACAAAGTGAGTTTGATAAATAGAAATTCTTTTATCTTGCCCCACATTCAGCATAAAGTTGTTCTCCTTGTATTGTGAACTGTATTCGCCGTAGGTTTCTGATTACTCAGTTTCTCACAACTGAAGCTTTGGGCAAGAATACCCTTGCAGAGAGGAGATAGTCCATCGGCAGTCTCCCTCTGTTCGTGCGTCAACTTCCACAAATGTGTTAGCATTGCATTTTAAGGTTAAATTTGACCAGCCATTTGTGCAGCAAGTTCTACAGTCACGATTGACTTTAAACTTGTAGATATAAATCTAGGGAGCTCTGAGGTTTATTTGCCGAAGTTAGAGAAAAATCTGTCTTACGGTTTCGCAATTATATTTTTGCAAAAAAAATATAAGATATATAATTTTGTAAGCTTCGAAATTATATTTTTTGTATAAAATGCGGTTTTAAACATATGCCAATATCTCAAACATATTTATACCTACAGGAAAATTTTTTCTTAAAGTTCGACCATTCCTTATTAAGGATGCCAAAAATCATGAAAATCAGTTAAATCATTACTGCCGAAAAACCCGATTGAAAAACATAACCAAGGGGCATATAAATAAGTTCAGGCCACCTTAAATGCATGTAGTATGCATGGTAATGAAAGGGTTTTTAGTAAAAACTCTTGAGAAAATTGCCTATTCCATTTTCAAAATGACCATACTGACCACCTAGTTCAGAGTTTTTGTAAGCGCCCTCAACAGAGGAGGAATTTTACTGAAAGTTTTCCTGTTTGACTCTGTAAAATTTATAAATGTGATTAAAAAATAATTGTGAGGCTATAGTCCAAAAATCAGCCCTTGGGAATATTCCCTCTCAATAATAACTTCCAGTGATGGTGATGGTGCAAGTATCATAACAAATCGCTATAACTGTAACAATACAGAACTTACATTTTGTTCTCTCACATAAAATAATGATTTTATTTTATAAGAACTTGGGTAAAAAAAAAATGTGGTGAAGAACATTTTAAACTTAAATTACGTATTTGTTGTTTTGTATTAACAACAGATTAATTTGCTAAGAAAATGTTGTGAAACAAATCTCAAACTGTTCTTGCCCGTGATTGACTAATCATGTCTTAACCACTTATGTACTATTATAATATTATGGTAATGGGTTTTTGGGAATGGCATATTTGAGCAGCTTTTTTGTTACTCTTGTCAAAAGGGCTTCACTTGGAATCCAATGTAACTTGCCATGCCATAATAGTTGCAAACTCCACATATAGTGGCAGTGGACTCATCAACACCAATCAATGCTTGAAAGACTGTGAAAAGCTACGGATGGCTTTGCTTAAGGGTCAGTGGGAATGCACTGGTATGTATACTAAAATTTATAATTTTTTATTAATCCATATAATTATGGGGGGAGAGGTGTTGTGCAAAATAAAGAGTCCCCTAACTTTAGATCTCTGGAGATCTCTCTATTCTTGAATTCACTCATAATTCTTGAAGGATACCTGAGTTTGTTAGGAGGATGTTAGCCTGCAGTACAGGCGTTGTTTTTTCATGTTTTTCAGGCGAGTGAAGGCAATCGCAAAGCAAGCGAGGAGTGCCATGTGTCTGGCACTCCAGCGACCTTGCTTGCTTTGCGATTGTCTTCACTCACCTGAAAGCCTTCACTCACCTGAAAAAGCCATCTTAATGGCTCATGGATATTGGCCAGGTTCTTTTTGCATATTTATTCACCGAGATTAAGTCAAGGAAAATTAAAGCACAAAAAAGAACGAGGCCATTATATCCATCTTGACCAAACAAACTTAGTCAATAAAGGATTTATTGCATTGACAAAAAGACAACTTTTTCTTGCGGGACGCGGGAAATCCCGAGCGGGCAAGATGGCTCCATTAATTCATTTACTCTAATTTGTTCTTTTATACGTTTGTCTTTGTTCTGCTGTCTGATCAAGCTATATACTACTTTCATTGAAGTCTATATAGGTATTGCATTGTTCTTTAAATGGTTGTTTTGTCATATTGCAACGACAGAAGTTATTAACAAGACAGGCAAAGAGATAAAAAACGAATTGAGGGAATCTTTAAACGAGCTGAGTGCGGACAAAAAGGACAGGGTTGTGATGGTGTATTTTATGGGCTACACTCGAAAGGTAAGGTTATGTTATTTTCAAGTAAACAAGCTAACCCTTACCTTAATTAAAATGGTTCCGGTTGTTAATTTTGCCAAGACAGGAATCAGCTCCCGTTTTTTTGTTGGATTGGATAGCAGCAGCGCGCGTTTTTCCAATATGAGAGGTGTAGAGGCATTGTTAGTTGTTTCCTATAATTTTCGTAAGCATCGAACAAGTATTTAGTAAGTTAGAAGGCTTTTTTCCCCCATCAATGCCGCCAGATCGCAGAACTATGTTCATTCATCACGTCTCGAAGTTCGCGCTATGTTAGTCACGTGACTATCTTGCGTACTAGTTCCCAGACTCTCTGCCAAAAACGAGGAACCGAAATAAGAAATTGAGCTAAATTGGAATCCTGCATCACGGACATCGATTAAAAATTGACCAACCTTTGGGACCTTTGTCAATTCAATAGTTTATAAAACTACGGCACTCTTTGTGAACTTTTATTGTGTTTTCTCATCAACAATGATCAAGAGAAAAAAAGACCAGCAAATAAAAGCGTAAAAAGTCGACGTTTCGACGCCATATCGTAACGCCATCAGGGATCTTATGATCCGACAACGGCGACGTCCATGAAAATGTCGCTGAAAATAGACTTCGCATCCTTTCAGTTTTTTTCGCGATTATCCCAAGGGGCTCAGTTACTTAAAAGAAGGGAATCTGGATTGGAGCTGAAGAGGGAGGGCCACGCCCAAGTCCTGGACAGAGATTGTAGAATTTATCGCCTTGCCGTTCCCGCTACCAAGTAAACTTAAAATTTGGTCATTTCACGTCTTAGTTATGCATGGACTGCAAAGAAATGTACAAAAAAGCGTAATGCACGTGCTGAGTTGTTGTTTTGTTCATTAAACCTATTGCCAGCCTTGACGTTCCCTTTGCCGTCGCCGCCGTAGTTTCGTAAGGTCCCTACTGGCACTCCCTTATTTGGTCTAGACGGATATGTGCCGCTGAACCGCTGAAGAGGATATGGTTTTCAGCGTCTTGAGTCTTAAACTGGGTAGCCTACGTAGCAGGCGCTTGGAAGTGGTGGGCACAAGAAAAAAACGGGCGCGCGAGAAGGAGAGTGTCTTCCTCGCGCGTCCGTTCTCTCTTTCGCCCACAACTTCCAAGCGCCTGCTACGCAGGCTATAAACTGGGTATACAGTTTCACCATTCGACGTCTTTAACAGGGTGTGGTTTTGGACTGGAAGTTTGCGTCTGAGCGGTCTTCGTTTATTGGCACCTACAATCTTTTTCCAAAAATTGTCGTTCCTTGATATTACTTTGAAAAATAACCTAACTTTTGAGCAACTTTTTGAGAAATTACGGGAAACGTTTTGGAAATTCTCAAGCAACTTGTGCAAAAGCCTAACCCCAGCTGTAACCCTACCTATCATGTAAATGCAATCAAATTTAAACGAGAGATTATATAGCCTACGAACGGCAGACGTATTTCCGGTCGTCGCTTCTCTCCCTTCGAAAAATCTGAGGGAGAGAAGCGACGACCGGAAATACGTCTGCGGTTCGCAGGCTAGAGATTATATGGACTGGTGAGTTACCTCATCTACTTGGGGTCCCCCACCTTCATGTAAACAGGCCCTTAAATTAGATTGTATTGATAAAAGCGTTACGATGACGCCGAAACGTTTTCACGCTTTTGTTTTGTGTTATTACAGATATTGGATCGTAACTGTTTCTTTGGAAGAGATTTCACTGTTGGTTCTCCTGAGCCTCTACGTTCAAGTGTCCCTCTTAAGTGGGTACTGGATCTCATGTGTGAGAAACTTAAAGGGGTGAGTAGTATTTCCACTCTGGATCAGTGAGCTAGATATGGTGTAGAATGTACATTGCTTGAAGGGTATAGCGCGTTTAATATCCGAAACACTACTATACTAGCAAAAGACTGAACAATATAAAGACTTTCTTAAAGTCCTTCGCTTCTCATTTCCGGTTCCTGTAGTTGGCCTCAACGCCAAGGACGAGCTCTCGCTCCTTCGCTCGTTTTTGCTGCAGAAAACATAAAAAAATCTACCGCTCGCGCTTCGCGCTCGTGAAAAAATCTGAGCTCGACTTGTAGGCAAGTCTAAACAATATACAGCTATTTCGAGAAAGGCTGTCGGGAGAAGTGCACGCGACAATCCCGAAAGGTATTGTGGGTGCTTTTGAGTTCAAAGAAATTTGAGTGGATGACACGAGAGGCCATGGGCGCATGATTGCGAGTGCTAAAAGAAAGCAAAAAAGTAGTTTAGTTACAGTGTCAGGAACAGTGTATTGATCAGACCCCTGTTACGTTTCGGGATTGTCACGTGCACATTTCTTCAGACAACCTTTCTCGAAATAGCTGCATACGCAGAAGCTAACTTGAACCAGCAGCCGTTGTCTCCCTAGCACCCCATTTTTCTTACTTAGTGCTGCGTAATTCAAAACAGGGGCTTTCCAACATGATATTTCGGTTTTGTACCACGTGAATGACCAGCTGCAAAGGGCCTATTAAGGAGGTCAACCGTCATCCGTCAAAGGCTCAAAATTTAACTGTCAATTATATTTCTAACCGTCAACCGTCAGGGAGGACCCATAGCTATGGCCCCCTTACCCCTCTCTCCTGCTGCTCAGCATCATAAATTATCATTCATTCATTCATTAATCTTTTGCATTTCTTTCTGCAGCCGAAAATCTTAATAGTTGATGACTTAGGAACAAGCCAGCCGGAAGGACTGGTACAAATGACAGCTCCAAATGATGTCTTGATCAGTTTGCCTAAAGAAAAGAAACCCGGGTTGGTAAAACTTTGAGAAGTAAATTTTTGCGGCTTCAGCCGAGTTCTACTAATGCAAAGACTTAAGCGTAGCTACGGGGGAGGTTCTAAGATGCCGTGGCCTCAAAATCTGGATACTGCTTTTCAATAAAGCTACGGTTATTCAGGCAACAAAAATGTGCAAAGTATTTTGCAATTTTGCTACAAAACGAGTTGAAAAATGATTTTGCGCGTTTTACCACCCGCGTTCAAAACTGTCTTGCTACAAATCAGGTTGTTGCAAGTTGCGTGAATACTGACTTCTGATTGGATAAAATGATGAAGGAGTCATATCATATACTGGAGTTAGGTCACCTGCTGCAAAACAAGTTTACCTTCGGCCAGTAAAATGAGCATGATGTACAGATTTTGTCGCAAAAATTATAACTACTCTCTACTTTCTGAAACAACTTTTTGCAACTGCAACAACTTGATTTATGCAAGGCAGGCACTGAGGCCAAGACAGGTTAAAGTGGTGTCGGTCGCTTACGAGCGATGGTCGTTTACCAGAGGTTCAATGATTAGACGGGGAAAATTTAGGTGTTTTGATAGGTGGTCGCTTAATATGAGAAGTAGTCGCACATGGGGGTTCGACTGTATCTAAAACCAAGATGAATGAACTCATGACAAGTAGCTATGTCTGCCCAGCTGCCAATTTTTTCGTCATTACCTGCAGGAATGATCGAATAAGCATGAACGTTTTCATTGTAACATCACCAAGTATCGAGACACTAGCAGCCTTTCGAGTTGTCTAGGCCCTTAGGCTAAAAAAAATTGTCGACTTTGGCAACGCTTGCTATGCAGTGAGGGAAACTATTTTCTCATTGGTTCATGTGATTGCCTGTCTGATTCTTCCAATCAAATTGAGTACACTCTTTTTTCTATAAGAATATGGAGGCTGAAATTTGCGAAAATTAAAGAATAGTTTAAGAATAAAACCGAGGCTGAGACTGTGAAAAGGATATTATTTTTTGTGTTGAAAATCTGAATTATATGCTGTTATCTTAACAGTGTTGAAAACCTAGGGAGTTTTAGCAACGACAACGGCGACGTCATCGAGAACGTCAAAAAAGCAATAGGTATATCCTGATTAACTAAAACAACAAGTTTGCACGTGCATCACACTTTTTTGTAGATTTCTTTGCTGTCACTGCACGACTACGACGTGAAAATACCTAATTCACACGTTTTATGGAGGACGTAAATTAGCGACGAAGATTTTTTTCTCAGTTCTATACTTGAGTACGATCCTCTAGGGAAATCCGCCTACATTTGACATTTTCAGCGAACTATGGAATAAACGCGACAAAGTTTGAAAAAACGCCGATTCATTTAAAAAGTGAGGTTTTCGCTGCCGAAATAAGCCAAATGTTCAATGCCGTTCGATGAACGGTACATAGCGTAAGCTTAGGATGATAGCATACCAGCATGGTATATAGCTCAAACTGAAGAAATAAACAAGCCACAAAAAGATAGACTACGAGCAGTCTCTCTTTTTCCTTGGTCCGTCGAGCAAACCATGCGAGACACGCAAATGACCACGTGCGTGACTTAAGGCACGAGATTGGAGAGGCCTGCCGCCCTCGTTTCTCGCCTCTCGCGACTTTGCCACTCGACGCTCGCGCTCGCGTTCACGTGCACTCCCCGCACTAAATCTGAAGAAAACGAGAGACTGCTCTCAGTCTACAAAAAGAAAATGATAAATTCTCTCTTTTTTAAGTATAATTTAGGAATGATACAAACATATTTTCAGCCTAAAATCAGCGGAAAAAGAGAAAATCTTCAGCCTGGGTCGGAAAAATCATATTCTAGTGAAGAAAAGTGGAGCTAACTGTAATGATTTACATCAAGGTATTTTTGTAACGTCTTGCATTCTTTCACCAGGCCTTATGAAGACAGTGTTACGACCAAATTTGCAGGGTTACTGGAAACCAAAGCTGGTGAACTTTCCCTGAAGGAGATGGTACAAAAAGCAGCATCTTTTGATCGACACCGCCTTAGTTCTAGTTTATATTTAAACTGAAGAAAATATATTGATGAGTACATCACTAAATATGCGAAAACAAGAGTCCATTATGGCTCTTGGCGAAAACTAATATCTAGTTTGCAGTCTAGCTTTAAAAGCAGTCATACCAAACGAGTTTAGGAAAGGTTAGTCGAACATGCTCTTTTAAGAATGAACAAATAGATAGTATGCAAACATGAGCACAAGCAACAAGCACAGTCACAGGAGAATCCTGATCATTCTGGTTTCTTCTGCAAGGAGAAAATTGGCTCTGATAACTAAGTCGTAAGTTGTTTTTGCTTATGCTTTCGTTGTAATTGGAAATTAGTCTTATAGACATCTAGGTTTGTCCTTCGATCGTCTCGATTTGTCTAAACGATATAGGAAAACCATAATATAATTGGAAACGATACGAACGGTCAGATCACATGAAAACCGCTTTTAGACGATTACGGATTGGCCTGTGCGGAACTATTTGAAGCTGCTATTGATTGTTAATTAGCCTCGTTTGAATGCTTTTTTTTTTTAAGAAAATAATTTTTAAAATTTACAACATGATATTTAAACCGCCTTACTGTAATAACAGGTAAGATATAGGCATGACACATTTAATTGGAGCTGCTAGTAATAAATTGATATACTGAATTAGTAAAATCCAACGATGGGTCTAGATTATCAATGTTGTGTTCTGACTGGTTTAGCTACTGCTACGCTTTATGTAATGGCCCACTAGGAGCGAAAAGCGCCGGCTATTTGACGGCAAAAAAGGATTAAAGTCTAGCTTTAACTGGCTAAAGTTGCTTTTTCTCGATATTTTTGACCAACTAGTTGGATTTTACTAAAACAATCATTCCTCTCGCCCTCATGGCTTCTGAGTCAATAGCCCATGAGGCCGAAGGCCCATTCGGGCTCGAGGAATAATTGTTAAATAGTTTGCTCGTGATGAAAAACTTTAAAGAAGCAGTGTACACCAAGATCTTGTGCCGCTACGTGAAGATCCAAAATTCAGTGAAATGCCATTTTTTTAAAGCAGTGCCGGGCCTCGCTAAAAGTAACTATATTCGTAAAACAAGGAAAAGCAACCATATTTTACGTCGAGAACTCGTGACAGCCTGATAACTTATAAACTTGAGGTCGATGGTGCGCTCATGTTACCCCCCTCTCTTCGTCAATTCTCCGTTTTAAGAGTATTTAAAGCTAGTTAAAGCTACACAGAAAGGAGAGAGAGAGATTGAAACAAGGATGTACCAGTCAACTTTGCCATCCTTAGTATATTAACTTGTTCATAATTGTCTTTGTTTAAATTAAGGTTGGGAAAAAAGAAGCCCGACGATTTGTGGTTTCATTTTGTTGTTTGCGAAAAATCACAGGGACCTTCCCGCTTTCCTGGTTTTTTACACCACGGAGAATAAAATTGTTGTCTTTCGCAAAGTTCGAAGCCCATTTTGCCATCAAGGAATGTAGCGTCATTATTGTAGCGCAAGTTATTCGAAAAATAGGGCAACTTCTCACTGCTTCTTTAAAGTTAGCCTTCGTAAATTAGTTAGATGTTCACATGAGACCAGTGGCGGCGGATCTACGGGGTGGGGGGAGGGGGGTCCCGGAGCCCCGGCGGCCTGGCCCCGTTTGACCAAACCCAAGGCCTACAGCAGCCAAGGCGCTCAGATAGTCAATTGTCATATCAGTTTGAGTGTGTCCCTCCTTCTTGCTTTAAGGTCTAGATTCGACGTTGTAGCCATTTTTTTCTCGTTCGTGGCTCTAGGGAAAATTAAAGCGAATAATATTTTTTTTCCGACAACGTCAAGTTGCAATTTTATTAATGTAAAAACGTTAGCACAATGAGTTTTATTTGATAATAACAACCAGAATATTGTGGGTTTTGTTTATTGAATGCAGATTACGTTGTCGGGATTGCTAAATTTATTGATGACCAAAAAACGATATTAATTAATTCTGGCTAAAGTCCTTGGTTTACGGTGTATATTTAAGTGACAGTCTTGTTAAAATATAATGAAATTGTTATTTCAAATTTAAGTTCAAAGGGGTTAGTGTCAGTTTAGAATGTATAATGAAATTACATGGTTAAGTTATTTCACATAGATAGTTTTGCGTTAGCAAATTAAAATAAGTAGAAAAATCTACACATAAAATTATTATTTGAATTAGCCCACTGTGTAGAATATTTTCAGATGCAATTTTAAGCTCACTTTTAGAGAAAAAACGCTTTTAAGTAGATTCTTTCTGTTTGTCTGTTTGTCACGAATAACCGAGGCTATGTTCACATTATATCGGATAGCTTTTGCGCTGTCACGAAAACAATACCGGATAGGGCCTCTGTTCACAGGTGAGAACGGTGGTTTAGGGCCGATTTCTATGACGGAGCGAAGGTGCGCCGCGCCGTTCTCGAGGGCGGAGCGTCGGATATAGGTTCTATGCCACATTTTGCCCTTTGTGCAGTGTGAACAAGTATTCGGCGGACGGTAGCGGAAGTGAATAAGTGGGATCGAGGACTGGAATCCACTGAGACGAAAGTAAATATTCAGGAGTGAGGCTTGGGATTTAGTTTACCAAGCCCTCTCGGCCAACCGCTCTGGGATGATATGTTTGATGTGCGTGAACCGTTACAATTCATACTAGGCCGGATAGCTTTTCGTGTCGGCGGCACAAAAGCTATCCAATATAGTGTGAACATAACTAGCCTGCCTCGCAGACGTAATCAATATTAACCCCGTTTAGTAACGTCTGAGAAGTATCGCCGTGATCCTTGTTCTGTGCCCCCAATGGACTAAAACAATAGAGCGTTTTCACTCACGTGGCGAGCATCTATGCAAATTTATTGGAACAAAAGAAAGCATTTGCATAAGAAAAGAGTTCAACTCCAACAGGATTTTCTGGGTACACCAGCATGGCAGCAGTTTCATTGTTTGGGAACACAAATATGGCCGCCGTGACGTCACGTGAAAACGCTCTATTACCGGAAATGCGTTTCGAATTTTCTTTCCACCTGATTGGCAAATCGACAATGGCTTCTTTAACTGGCTAACCATGGCGCGTACTCAAATCCTGGTACACAGGTGATAGCGAAAAAAAAAGAATTTGGCCCTGTTTCGCAGACAGAATGAACCAGAGTTTAGCTTCGTCTGTGGTGCAGGCTAGAACATAGCCAAAGCAGAAGTATTCGTTTTCAAACCAAATTCGTTTGCCTCATTTGATTACTTGTGGCATGCACCTATCTTATCCTAACGCTTCTTTTTGTGCCAGTCAGCCACGGGGAAGAGTCATCGACAGAAAATTGAGGCACAATACCGCTTTTTCCCTTAAAGACGCATATATCATTTAGTGTTTTAATGTAACTGGCCCTTGTGCGCGCTCTCACGACTACCGTAAATCCTCTATTAAGCCCCCCCTCTCTAATAACACCTCCCCTTTTCAGAGGAGGAAAGTTAATAAGTCCCCCCTCCCCCCATCCTTATTCTTCACAATTAAGGTGGACCGATCAGTTATGGTTTATTCAGGCTGGAAATTCATCTTGTTTTTGGTCTTCGGCCGCATGACCTCCTACTTCATGTGCTGAACTTTGTCAACTTTATGCTCTAGTACGAGTTCTCTCTGGAGAATTGTTACCATTTTCTTATTGTTAGAAAAAGCAGTATAGCGCCCAGTAACCACAAGTCCTTCCTCGAGAAACCTTGCTCCCGCGGTTGATGCATTACGCTAAATTAAATAAGCCCCCTTAGTATTCAGCCCCCCCTCAAAAGTGCTTGAAAAAATAAGACCCCCGGAGGCTTAATAGAGGATTTACGGTAAACGAACATCTTCAAAAGCTGGAGACTTAGATATGACAAAGATTGTCATTGAATGTGGACAGGCAGAAAGAGGGCTATAAGCTGAGGTCGTCAGACCTCCTCAAGCTGGAAATGTTTCTCACTGTCGAAAGTATTGCACGCACCACTGGAAGGGTGGCCTGTGCCACACTCTCTGTCAGTGCAGAACAGGCTACCGGCCGGGGCAGCCTGTGAACGCATTCGTATTTCCTGTTGTCCCGCCTTTACCCTTTCGAGTGGTCTCGCGCTCTACTAGCCTGCGTAGCAAGCGTTTCCGTTTAGTTTTGGAGCAAAGAAAGACCGAGGAACGGGATTTCCGGTTTTGGCCGCGCGAGAAATGAAACGAGAGCCAAAAAATGAAAGAGGGGGGAGGGGAGGGGGAGGGGAAGGAAAGAAACGCTTGCAGACAAACCCCTCGATTTTGAAAACCTACGTTCGCCAGCGAACGCAGCGCCTGATTGGCTAGGCTAGTTGAACAATATTGACTTCCTTTCTCCCCACCCCCTCCCCGCTCTTTTACTTGCGCCATTTTTCGCGTGGTCTTTGACTCTCGTTCCTTGTTCTTGGCTCCTAAACCGCCGACGGAAACGCTTGCTATACGCAGGCTAGCGCTCTACGCCCGCTCCGCACTTCCTTCCCTTCGCTTGCTTGCCTGATAAATACTGAAAAATAAGGCTGCATGCTAGTCAAAGTATACTTGGTAACAAAACGACTTTTAAGAGCTTTCGTTGATGGTGCAAACTTACTTAGGGATTGGCTGCCACTGTCGTTACAATATAGAGGAGTATTGTGACGTCACGGTAGCTAGATGTTTGGATCACAACAGAGCTAAAGCAACGGCCGTAGCGGCGGCAACGAGAACGGCAAAAAATCCGTAGGTAACATAACCAAAACGACAACTTTGCACGTGCATCACATTTTTTTAGCAGTCGTTGCATGACTGCGACATGAAACTTTCTAATTTCACGCGCCCACCTCATGGAGTCGGTGAACACAACACAAGTTTTTCTAAACGTAGATACGGATTCAACCCAGGAAATTTCGCCAACTTTTGACAAATTAAATGAAATTGAATACCGTCGATGAAGTTTGAAACGGTGCGAATTCTCGGTTTGTTGTCATCTAAAAAATTTTGCTACCATGGCAACGTGATGTAACGACCTCTGAATCGTGCCAACGTATATCTCCCCAATCTTCCCACAATGCTATAGGTTCAGAATTTTTCGGGCTATTATCCATCTATAGGGACTAATAGAGAGGATCAAGGAGAAGTCGTAAAGTCATGTTACCATGGTAGCAAAAAAACCGTGGTCCCACACACATGACACATATGGCAGGAAAAAACGTAAAAAATTGATATGTTCGACTTTCCTGTGCATGATTGCACTCAGGAACAAAATACTAGCGCATATTTTTTCTTTTCTCCTAGAATGCAAACGCCTATCCTAGAAATTTTGTTACCATGGTAACGTGACGTCACAATTCTCCTCTCTATAGGCTTTTTGCAATAATTGGTCACTCACGTGATCCACTTTCTGTAAAAACGAAAACAATATACTTTGTGGAAAAATGATTTTAGCAGGAACCGGAAAGAGCATACAAATAAAGTAACCTGCAAATTTTCAGCCGTATATCTCCAAAGTAGCGATTGCAAAGACCGCCGGAAGTTAGAAGAATTTGGCATGGGAACACTCAATCACGGTTGGGTGCCGACAAATCCTTGTAAATTCTAAAATTTTCAAACTGTCGTTAAATCTTTCCGTTATGTATTACAGGGCTCACATTGACTGTTATGAACAAAAGAAAATTTTGATACAAATGAATAAATTTACATGCAGGTTGCTCTTGGTTCCTACTAACATCATTTTTCCAAAGAGAACTGTTTTGGTGTTTACCGAAAGTTGATCACGTGGCCAATTTTCAACTTGGCTCTTGTCTATATATACTCTTTCAGCTAGCGTACCAAATACTGATAATTATAAAGAACGTCGAGGCGGCCGGCTGGAAGTATAAACTTCATGAACGATTTTGAGGGAAAAACCTTCCGAGTGACAAGAAATACGTTTATACAATGTCCGCAAGTAAAATTGGTAATGACATCATTACGGTTGTTAGAAGCGCTGCCGCAGTCTCGGCGCAATTCATCAAGTCTTCTTTAAATGCTAACCTTCACAGTTTCTTGTTCCCGTGATCCCCGAAATTGTTTTCAGGTTCTCTTAATTCTTAAGATATTTGTCTTATTACCTCAGTTCCCGGTTCAAACTGGTCCTTTTCCGGCTAGCTCCGCTCCTTAAAACCACTGGGAGACCCTCTTCAGTGACATAGTTTTACCTGTTCTTTCATTTTTTGAAAATGATGCATAAAACGATCCCGCGGATAAGCTCGAAAAAATTCGGAATGTTTGACCATATTTCATGTCACTGACCCACAACTACTTTGATAGAGAACAGGATAAGGCTTCAGGGCACTCGGCTCCCAAGCACGGCCAGAAAATGGCACCACATCGACCCAGCCAGACAGGTCGTCGGAATTTAACCCCAAGTAATAGGAGCAGGCAAATGTATCTATTCCCTCTTAGTAAAGTCCACCGCGTGCTCACTTAATTAATTCATTATGACTACTCCATCTCTAAATCTCTCTCGTTTGAGGTGGAGAAAGCAAACATCAGGTGATTTGTCGGCCCATTGAATAAATTAACATGGCCCCATTTCCCTTCTGATCTGTTGACGCAAAATGATAAGATCCAAAGAATTTGTCAAAGCAAGTTGGACTTTGTGCAAAGGGCCGGGGGAGCACTGATTCAGAACCCGTTTCTTCGAAGCCCACTTTTAAATTCAAGGAGCATACAGATTTTCTCAAATCTTCCATGCAAACTTCGTCAATTAATGCTTGCTCCTACTTGGAACCTTCCGCATAAAACCCTTATATAAAATTCACAACCCGGCATAAGAGTAGATCAATAATCTTGGAGAGGAGGTGTCTCGTCGGAATTTAACCCCTAAAGAAAATAAACCTGGGCGCGGCTTCATTATTTGACCCCGGCTAAAGAGACATTGACAATGTCGGATAGCGCCGGCAAAAAAAACCATATCGGATAGGGCTTTTTTCACACACCAAGGTTACTTCGAAGTAGTTTTTGTAACGGAGCGAGGCTGCGCCAGCTGCGCCATCTTGAAAGTGGATCGTCACATATCGGACATGTTTTTGTGCCTCAATTCGCGGGCTCCTTATATGGTGCAACACGGGCCGGACGGAGTATTTTTCATGTCGACATGATAAGCTTTCTATCTACCGGTACAGTAGTGTAGGCTAGCCTTAAAATGGCAACAAATTACCGGAGCCAATAAAAAGCTATATCGTGTAAGGCTCGTGTTTCAATCTGCACAAAACCGTAGACCACGTGATGTTCTCTGGAGGATTTGACTTTTGTGTTTGATATAGGACGACACTTGCAAGAAGCAGTTTTCCGTCCTGAAAACGTTAAATAAGACCAAAATATACAGTTTAACTACATCACTACCACCAGCATCCCGGCATATTTCACTTTGGAATTCCCCACGAGTCAAAAAACGTCCTCTGAAGGGACTGCTTCGTCAACGCATTTTTCCGGGATCTTTTAATATTTAATTAAAATAACAAGATATTCTTGTATTTTCAAATGAAATCCCTCGATTTTAACATATTTCAACTTTGTAAAATGAATTATTTATTTACTTATTTGCTCAATTTAAGTGAACTTGGGAAAATTGTTTTTGTATAACTAAAATCAGTTGTTTACATTCTTTGGCAAGTTAGGTCGGTCGCGCTGGTTGCAACGAGCATTGTGATTGGCTGATTCAGAAGTCAGATCTCGTCTGATTTGTACCTTTGCCCTTACTTGTACACCAGATATTTGGAGCAATATGATTGGTCCATTTTTGTCAGACCACTCGTGTGAACCACATCGGAAGACACAACGAGGTTGTATATATTCAAGAACATTTCTAGAACTCTTTTTCTTTTCACTCGATGGGACTGGCGATGCAGTGTTTGAATTGTAGAAGACGCTCTCCGTCGAGCGGACAGTTTTTCTTGAGATTATTTCGACAAATGGCTCCGTCTGTTGTGAACGTTTTTGTCCGCGGAGTTGTGCTGTTTCTACTCGGATTCTTCGTGGCAGTGGTACTTTTCTTGTTTTCAGTCTTAGCAGAAACGCGTAGAAAGCGAATTCAAGTTTTAGACTTTGAAATAGTGGCGAATTTGTTTAGTGGTGTATGGTGGATCGCTCCGTTCTGCGGAACAGTGGCTGCTGTCGTTGGATTAGTTTACCCGTGCTCAGATATTCGACTTGGAAAACCTCACCAATTTCAGAGAGAATGGTCTAGCGTTCTCAAATGTGTCGCCTTATTCCTGGGAATAAGCCACGCGTGTGCAGTATCCTTTCTGTTGTTAAAGACCATGTTTGGCTGTAGATTTTGATAAGCACACATCAACGGGTGTTATGAAACGAATACGTTCGCGTGATAGCAAAATTCAGCTGACCAGCGTTTACATTTAAATTTCTCGTCTGTTGCTTTTCCGGGTGCTTTCAGAAAAAAATAACAAACATTGGAAGCCCAAGATACCCAATAAAATCTCAACAAAATTTTTTAACCCTAGTCCTGAGCTAGGTTGCTAAATCAGCGCTCATTTCAATGTTTTTGCTGTGAAGATGATCGAGTTTTCACGTACGCGAGGTTTTATGCTCGTATTTATTTTGTCATGTGACTTGTTGCAGCTCTTTATTAGCATAACTCGTTGAAACAAGACCCTAAGATGAAATACTAGAAACTTTTTCTTTTGCTGTTGATAAACAACTCCAGAAAAAACTGATTAAGTAGGGAATTTATTGCTGCAGTTTAATTGTCACTGATATGATTGTCTGCAAGGTCGAAGCGCTTTACTCTTAAAATTTTATTTTAAAATAGCAATATAGTCACTTCACATGTGTTTGAAAGTCTATTGCAGATTGACAAATCTTCATAGTAGTTGACAGTTGTTGATGTGTTAATTTAATTAGCATTTGGCATGATTTATCTACAGGTGAATACCATCATATCAGTAATAAGTGTCCCTCTCTAAATAGCCTCCCCACACCTTTGAACATTTAAGTTTACTTTTCCTTGACATTTTTTGTAGAAAATTCCATTCAACAGTTCAACACACTTTTCCCTCTTCATGGCTGTAGCCTCGTTACTGCTATGGTGGTTATTTGACCGTTCCAAAAATGGCCTTGGACTTGCTGTGTTTGTAGCACTGTGTGTATGTGCTGTTTTACAGTCTTTGATCTCCTTTGGAGTTTACAGGTAATTTATTTCTTCTTTTGTAGGATTAGTATTCTAGTTAAAACAAACATCATTAACTCGAGATCATTTGGGACTTGTTATGTAGGCTGGCTTTCTTTTATTATTATAAACAAGAGATTGTTTAGGAATGTTTTTTGATTTGTTGTGCTGATTGGCCGGGTTTGGCTCGCTGACGGGATAGCTCTCATCAGATTGTTTGTTACTGATGAAGATCTACAACATAAAAGAAGTTGAATTCTTGTGAACAGGTTTCCTGCTACTGAGTGAATAATTTTCCTGGAAATAAGAAAATTTCCTTTGAACAGTTATTAATACTACTGATGCATTTTATTGTTTTATCAAAAAAATACACCCCGGGAATCCAATCTACGCCATATTGTACAAAAGAATAACAATTTGACTACCCAGTTACTCTCTTCACTTGAGCAGCTGGTCATGTGTCTACCCATACAGTAGCCACTAGAACACAAGGTTCTTGCTTATGTCCAGAGGTCAGAGGGCTGCAGAGATTTCCTCCTGGTTTCTTTGAGTATGATCCCAGCTGGCCACTGCGGAAACTTAAGGAAATAGAACCAAAAGAAAGTTCTTCCCAGCTCTTCAATTTCTTGCCTACTAATATTACATATTATACTTATCAACTTGAAGTCCTACAAAGCCCTGTGAAGGAATCACTTTTTTGCAATTTGTAGTAGTTAAATACCAAACTATTTCAGTATTGAAGTATTTATCTCTATTGATATGATATAGGTTTATATTTCTTTATTTGAAATCAGCATTAATTTCACTTCTAAATTAACTGCATTTAAGCATAGAAAACGTTTTCCGTGTTTGCATAGCCTGATATAAACACAAGAGGGGTTGGGAGAATTCGAGACAGCTATGCAAACCCGAGACGAAGTCGAGGGTTTGCATAACCGTCGAGAATTCTCCCAATGCCTCTAGTGTTTATATCAGGCTACGTAAACACAGGAAAAAAGTTTTCTATTGCTTTTATAAAATAACTTTCCCGAGAAAAAAACGCAAAACTCTTTGTATGGCACTGATTAAAAGAGAAATTCTTACCAGTCGCAAAATCTTGTCCACGAAGTCTTGCACGCGTAATCAGTTCTTGTTTTGCAAAAAGATGCTTTGCAAAATACGGATTTTTCTCGCTTAAAATGTCAGCTTAAGCGAAGAAAAATTGACTCACCTTCTTTGTAACGATTTTCAATGTTTCAGCCGACGAAGGAATGGGTAAATAAAGTAAACTTGTCGAGTTTTGAACTCGAAAACTTTTTCAAAATTCGTACTTGCGTGATTAGCGTGCGAAAAGCCAAACAACTAGACGCCACAACCATGTTTACATACTCTCATGCAAACACTCCTCTCGGCCAATCAGAGCGCGCGTACTATCTTAGTTATTTTATAAAATGTGATAGTAAAGTACTCATTCAGTTATGTTTATATTTCACATTTTAACTATGGGGTATTGTCACTCAGTGATGATTGTTTCATTAACTGACTTTTAGATGATGTTTATTATTTTGTTGATTGTTTAGACATGGAGAGCCTGATTTCCTTTATGCCAGAACTTGGATTCCGTGGTTCTTTTTCTCTGCCGTAGTAACGTTTGGTTCTATTGGAAGACAGCTTGCCATGGTGAGTAAGGATTTAACATCATCATCACTTGATAGAGGCTGAGTGCCTGTAGTATCCAGGAGCTGTCAATTTTGGTAGCCAGCCCCTAGATATCCAAGAAAAACAGGCATTGTCACTCTGAAATACCACTGGAAAAACAAAGAGGGGGAAGTGGCTGAACAAACCTTTTACAAGGGCTGTCATCAAGAGGCGGGGGAGGGGGATTCCCCCCCTCCCTCTTACTACTATGAATGTAGTCCATGGCTACTTTCAGAGGAAAATAGAAGAAAAATAGAACCACAAAATTTCCCAAGCTGTTTTATTCCCCACCTTCTTGTTATATTTACCCAGCAACTTTAAATTTAGTGAAACCCTGCTTACAAATGTTGTTTGAAGAAACTCCTCATACTAACATGTAAACAATGAAGTGAACTACTGAGCACGTGACAACAGACCGACCACTGACCTCTAACACTGATGTGCAATGGAGGAATGGCGATGCACCTGATTTTTGAGTTTGGCACCTGTCATCTGTGCGGCTTAAACTCTGACTTCCGTTTCCTTTAGGCTGCATTAAGAGCTGCATGTGCACTGCAAAGTTTATTTGGGTGTTTAGTTTTTCTTTCACGGTGTATGGAAACCTTGCAACAATTCTGTTTTACTTGTGACTCCACTGATGAAGGGCCAGAAAATGTAACAGGGCTTTTTTGTTCATCATTACTTTTTATTGAACATTCTCTTACTTACTATCCAAAATGCCATCGTGCAAAAAGCACGAAAAGACCCATTTTGACTGCCCACTCATACCAAAGCTTTGTTATGCATCATTGAAGTGTCCTGTGTTAATGCCAGCTAGACTATTACCTTTAAGTAGCATATGCTTTTTCTTTCCCACCCCTCCTCCTTTAGGTGTTATGCATTGTTGTCGTCATCACCATCATCATCTCTATTTTTGTCACTAATCTTACTCTTGGCTAGGACAAGGTTGTTATAAATATCACAATACTTTTTGTCATTGAATTTTTATCCTGCAGAATGAAATCAACTTTGTGAGGACTAAAGAACACTTTGATTAGTGTAACAAGCAAAAGTTTGTCAATAAACTGGACCAAAGAGCTGGATTCACCTTCCACTGGTAACATGTACATCAAGGCCAACTTTTCACAAAACAAGATGACAAAAAAGCCCCCCTCACCTCCCCCCTCCCCCCACCAACAAAAAGCAAAGCAAAAAAATTTCGATTTTAAATGCCACTTCTGCTTTATTTGTTAATGGATTTGCAATAATTATAGGTCATGAAAAACTAAAAGGGGAATCAAATTTTTCTTGAAATCTTGCAATGGTAGTAATATCTTTTGGAAAAAAAGGTCGTAAAAAAACTGTAAATAGAAATGGGATTCAAGGGAAAGAAACAAGCTCATGTATATCCACAGGATGTTATATTATTTATCAATGAAAAGAGATAGTTGCTATATTTTTCATTTTCATTCTTGAATGCTGTATTTGCAGGCATGTTCTCTGCTGAAAGCCATTGTTTGCTAATACAAAGTATTGTAAATATTTTACCTAAGAAAATAAAATATTATTGAGAACAGAAGCAATTTTCTGCAAGACACAGCAATGGTGGGATTTTATTTCAATAACTTTGGGGCAAATGATTTAATATTTGCGTGTAAAATTTTCGTAGTTTGTAGGTCTGATAGTGATATAATTATTTTTTCCCTCTGTACAGACTGAGCAAAATAATGTCATTTTAAAACAGGGGACGGTTTTACTTGTTAGAATAATTTATTTAAAGATATCTGAGGTATTAGATGTCTGTTTATATACGTTTGGTTTTGGATTAAAATAAGTGCTCAATTGAGTTTCTAGAATTTACATATGTTGTAACTTGAAGGTAATTTTCCAATAATGCAATCCATCTGTAATTAATTGAAAAAAATATATATGACTTTTTTCTTGCTGGTCCAAGAAAATCCTTGTTAGTGCCAAAGTCACCACTGGAAATGTTCAGGCATTCAATTTGAAGAATTCTTTAAGCAGACATTTTCTTGCAGTGCAAGAGTCGGACTGCCGGTGTTCCTTAGAAATAATTTTAAGCAGAGGAAAAGGAAGGGTGAAAAAGAAATATTATTCCTAAATTTTCTTTCTGCCACCCTTTTGGCTTCTGTTGTGAATATTAATGATCGATGTGCTGGCCTTTCTTTATGGATAAAAAACCCTGATCATCCCATAAATTAAGAAATGGAAAGTTACCTTTTTGTTTTGTGAGTCATCTCTGTATTAGTGTATTATACATGCTGTAAAAGCTAAACTGGAATTAAATGCTGCTGTTTCCTGTTGTATGTATGTTGAAGTGTTTTTTTTAATATGATCTTAAAAGGCATATTAGAGAACTTTAGATTCAAGGACAAGAACGACTATGAGTACGAGATTTGACTTCAAGTTCTTTCGCATATTCTCAAAATATAGACTTTCAGGAAAGCTTCATTTTACCATTTTTCACTAGAAAAGGTAGCACTGTTACCTTTAGTGAAGGAGGTTACACTCTCTCCCGATTGCAAAATGATAAACCTTCTAACATTAATTTTGATAACTTGTTTCTGCTCCTTCAACATTTTTGCTAGAACTTGTAGTAAAGTGACGACGGCTACCACATTTTCCCGCCAAAATGGCACTGGCTCACGCGCCAGCACTCTTGATCACCATGTTTCAAACGAAAATTAAGCCTGTTCCTACCATGGGTGATAGACGGCTTTTTTTAAAGCTGTGAATGCAGGTTAGTTCATCCTAGGTATTAATTTCGAGAACGGAGCTCTGGAGTGAGGGTGGCCTGTTCCAGGCTCCAAGATGGTAGAGCAGTCGGGCTGTAAAATTCACGCGTTTTATTTTTGCCGCATCCCTACTCTGTGAGAGCCTGGCACAGGCTAATGAAACATGCAACAATCAGAAAAAATCACAATGCTGTAACGTAAAACAGTGAAACTAAATTGAAGGTGCTGGTCTGGATGGGAAAATTTGTGTTGCATTTACATAAGATGGGGAAAAAACAGTTTGAACTCTATGAAAAAGAAAGAACAACAACAATGCAAAAGTGTATCTTTTCAGTAACACTTCTTTTAATGTAAAATATTTTAAGAATGTGGAGGTAGCTGACAAACAGTTAATATTATTAATAATAATAATTAAAGTTTAGTCCAAGATCTCGTGCAAACAATAAATTAACTTAAGGAAAAATGGGTAAAGAAGTTATGCAAAATTTATAAAAGAACACCTCAAGTATTAATAATATTAGACAGTTCAGTTTTCCATCAAAGATTTAACACCATGTCACCAAAAGTCGATCTCATTAGTACAGACAATTTTGTTGGCTTCATTAATGTTTTAACTTTATTAATAGGTGAGTTATACTTGACAGACCAGCTAACCTAGATCAACAGCAGCCACATTTCAGTCAGTCGAACAGGATGGACGTTCAAATGTGTGAGGGACTTTTCCTTTCAATTGAGAAGGATTTAATTTAAAACTAGGTTGAAACATGCACAGAGATAATGCCAAACAGTTAAATGACATGTAGAAATAATTCCTGACAATTCTGTGCAACTGTGTGTATGTTTGTCTTTCCCATTTCTAAACCAATTGTAGCTTTGAAATAATTTGTTAACTGCGACCAAAAGAGCACAGTATTGCCTGTTCGATTGACAGAAATGATCAACCTGCAACCAGTAGAGCATGATGTTGATATTTACATTCACATTATAACAATTTCCAGCCAAAAAGCACATTTCGCATCTATCTTTTGATTAAAAAAATAACAAAAACAGGCATGTAAATGATGACATGGCCCTTATAAGGAAAGTTGTTTTTACATTTTTAATCATAGTATTAAGCAGAGCACCTTTTTCTCAAGGGACATAAAGGGAAATGGTTAAACAAGCATACTCAAACAGGCAAAAACATTTGAAGTTATACTTGCTCAAACCACTGCGAGTTGAAGGCCATTTAAATTTACAGAATAAAAACATTTATACATGATTTTTTGCAATATCCCAAAGGAATCCAAATTATAACTAACTTGAACACCTTTAAGTAACTTAAAAACTTCAACTAAAAGTAGTCAGCAATTCAATTTATTGTTGTCAAATTTGGCTCACCTAAAAATGCTCTTTTCCCTCAATGCTGACTCTCCTTTTACTTTTATATTATGATAAATATAATAACTGAAAGGCTCTTGACGCCTCGGAATTTTTTCTTTAAACTTGGAATTGCTTTAGATTTGGACTGACAACGCATTTTTTGGAGCTTACAACGCTGCATTATTTCCTTTTTTACAGTACAAACTTTTCATTTCCACAGAATTTTCCTTCGTTTTGCGCATGTGCCTAAAGACATCTAGCTAAGTTTAAACAAGTTACACTGTATAAAGCACGCTAAGAATTACAGACATTGCACATTCAACTCCAAGACACAATTCTACAAACAAACTACATATTCTTTTGAATGCTTTCAATGAACTAGTAGAAAGCTTTAAAAACGATTTCTAACAGCTCCTTTAACAATAACAGTATCAATCTACTTTATCTAAAAATTTGAAAAGATTCTGTTTTACAAATAAATTGAATTCAGCATAATACATGTACCAAACTAATGGACAGCCATTTTCTGCTTGGCTACTGAAACTAGATATAGTTTTTACTCACATCCCAGCATTGTAATAGTCATAGATGTCACTCATAACTCTTTCTTTGCCTAAAATATTGCACTGTTTGATGATAGCTATCCACTAGTCTGGTACAATGCACACACTAAAACCTTAGTATTTAGGTTAGTGATTCCAACCACTATTACACTATCCCCTCCCTATTTCTAATCAATGAAAAATAGTAAATATAAATTTGTTTAATATTTTATTAGAAGAAATTTGAACTGGACTGCATCTGGCCCATGTGCAGCTATTTTTGCCAATAAACAAACAGTCATTGGATGAACCAACTATTTTTATCAACAGAAACAGGAAAATTTATGTATTAGAGTGTTCCATGGGCAAAACAAGACTGGCGATGTGGCCCCCGAGAATGTACCCATCACAAATTTAAATAACGGTAATAAATTTCTCATTGTGTGAGTCCAAAATTAAAACATGACAATTCAGTTAGCATAATTTTTTTGTGTTACAGAATTTCAGAAACCTGAAAAAGTGAGTGTAATTACTGAAGACGTCAACCTTATGTACACATACTATGAGCATTTTCTCTAAATTCAAGGTAAAATATTTACTATTCAAATATTCTCTCCATTAACTCCAAAAATCTCTTTGCATAATTCTCTGGTTTTACTGTAGAGATTTCAGCTCCTGCCTACAAAATAAGAAGAGAAAACAATGAAGTACAGTATTGTCACAATATTTAAAATTAGTACGTAGATTGACTGTATGGCAGTGACAATACACACTACCCTGTACTACACTACTATACACTATGCATATTATAATAATTACACACAGTTGCATACAGATGCTGGCATACTAATGCTGACTGAGCCAACTGTCTACTGATTGTTACTAATTCTGTCCAGAAACAACTTGGTAGAGTCAGTATCTTGTCTTTCTTTAATAATTTTTTTCAAAAAGCCCGGGTTTTTTTCACACCAGATGACTTAAAGCAATATTATCCATTCAAAGAATTGTGATATTTAACAAATCGACCACAAAATTTCCCATGGTCTACACTCTTATAGACCATAGAAATGACGTCATAAAATGTTCAAAACTCAAGTGGAACCACGAGCCACAGGCGAGTGGTTTCACTGCAAAGTTTTGAACATTTTATGGCATCATTTCTATGGTTTACAAGAGTGTAGACCATGGAAAATAATTGTGGTCGATTTGTTTCTTACAAAAACCAAAAACAAAACAACCGGCACTGCTTGACCGGTTACTTCATTTCCATGTCTATACTCTCATAGACCATAGCTCTCGACCAATCAGCGCTCAAGGATTTGCTCAGTTATTGTAAAATTCAATCTGACTGAATACTGGGAAGTTGTAGAGTTCAGGCAATGACTAATAGATTCATTTTTTCAAAATCTAGGGATGGGGGGAGTATGCTTGACCTGGTGTGACTAAATAAATTATAGCTATTTATCTTCCTATCGTTCTTGGGTACGGTCATGTACATTGTATGAGTACATGATAATGGGGGTTTTCAAGAACTAATGGGAAATAAATTAACCAAGTATGAAAATTGAACCAGAAGAGACAAAAAGAGTTGACAAGAACTGGACCACTAATACACAATGTCAGTAACATTAAGAAATTATTTATCTTTGTGCCTGTACAAATTAAAGATATTATACAGATGGAATATTGGAAAGCTAACACTACATCATCATTTTATTTATTAAATCTGATGATCACTGGATTAAAATGAAATTTAGTGTAGTTATGCCATTAAGTGCTGAACTCAGAATTTTAATTCTGTATTTGAATAGTTTTATTGAATAGTTTTTGTTCATAGACAGGTGGAACAGTAAAAGATAAATGTGTTACTGAGTCTACCATGAAAAGAATTGTTAAGCAAAGGAAAGAGTGAAGAATTGAGTGTACTGTCAATAAAGGTGCAAAGAAGTTATTAAAGTTAGTAAAATTTGGAAAGACATCAAGTTACCCAAGGAGATGTTAGCCTGGCCAAGTTTTCACGATGCTCTTGATTTGCCGCTGTTTGCCTGACGTTCACAACCCGCCACTGAACTGCGGCAATCTAAGGCATGGAATGTCATTGATCATGACACTGGCTTGAACCCAGCAAATAAGAAAATCATTCACAGGGCCATTTGAAAAAAATAGCCTGCATTTTGCGTCAATATTATCTTAAGGTTTAGAATCTGTTTACTTGCTAAAAGAAGAGTGTTATACAACCTAGTTATTTAACTTGATTAAATAAAAGAAGTTTAAGTCTTTAAAACAATAATTTAGAATTTTAGGTCATCATTTTATCCCTCTCAATTTCTTTCTGCAATGGTATATTTTGCCTTAACTAATAGTTACTTGAAGTATTTTTTATTAGAGAACTACATTGTCATAACAAATATGAGCAAACATAAAAGGCAGCAATTTTTAGAGTAAGCACTGCAATAATAAACCTGGCACGTTGTTCAAATAAATACTATAATGCCAAATGCTCTTGCAGTAAGTTCCAACCTAATATACCAATGTCCTCTTATTCTTCTGATACATGATTTTGCCTCATCAACAAAAATTTTAAAGTGTTTTTGGATACGTTTTCACTTAAAATGCAGTAACACAACAGCACCAAAAATCCATTGTGGCAGCACCACAACACATGTTCCACCTTCACGTGGAAGCTGGAAACAACAACCAGCTAACCTCAACCCACTTTTCACTGTCAGAGATAACCTGCGTCACAGACAATACTACCTCTCGTTAGGTCCGTCTGGGAAAAAGTGCTGATATCCTTGTTCCAGGCTTGTACCAGGATTTGAGTATGGGCCATAATTGGCCTGGTTTGCCAATCAAGATAAAAGAAAATTCAAAATGCACTTCTGGTAATTTGTTGAGTCTGTTGAGGGCCCAGAACAAAGATAACGGCACTGCTTCGCAGACATTACTAACCAAGGTTAAATTCCATCTGCGACACAGGCTAGGTCAGAGATAGACAAGTATCTAAAGTTTTTAATGTGTAAGTTAACACTGAAATATCAGTACACGAAGTTAATCAGTAAGCTTTTTCAACTTGTAACAACGATCACTCACCCCGTGTTTGACTGTTTTTGCAGCATGAGCTGCCTTTTTTCCTGCACCATAAAACGTCAGCACATCTATTATTCCAAGATAATATAACTCTCGTCTGTTTTCTGGAAAATAATGAGTTCAGTCAACACTATTCCAGCTTGATAAATAGACTTTATCCCATTAACCAGGGTGGCGAAGGGGTTTTCCACGACATGTGAACGGGTTCCAAATTATCAGCATGATGCGTTAATGGGCAAAAATTAGTTGCTTGAGGCGTGATTAGGCATAGCAGCGTGGTGAGTAAATTACTATATTTTCGTTAGGGAGTGAAACACAACGGCAATACACAAGCCTCATAGGGAACTTAGGGCACAATGACGGCAATGGCTATGAAAACATCATTTGAAAAGTGAATTTGCGCTGCTTCAAACTTTACTGCGCTTATTCCATCTTGTTTAAGGTGGCTGAACACAGTTATGCGGGTGGTCAGCGGTAACTTAAGTGACGGCACGTGTTTTAAATTAGACAAACAAACATGGCAGCGAAAAAAGCAATCGTACACAGAAGACAATAATTTCTCAAAATCTACTCTTTAAAACTTTGCGATATTCAGCGGAATTTTTACTTTTATCGTACTTTCAATAGTAAGAACTTTAAAATGGAAGTTAAAAAGACGAATTCTGTGACACATTTAATAATTACAGTACAATCATATTATTGATTATCTAAAAACCTGTCTGTTAAAATTTGGTCTTGTAAGTTTCAAATGGTAATGATTAATTATATAGTAAGCTGTGTGCAAGTTTATAGGAAAATCTAATGAGTAATTTTACTTAAACTGAAAAAAAGTGTACCTTTAGGGTTGTATTCAATCGTTCATGTTGCTATGGAAACTACGAAAACGTCATATTTTACTTGTCAGTCAAAATCTTTCATCAGTATATTTTTCACTTGCCAGGTTTCAGCTTGTGAGCTGCAACCTTTCTCTTGCCATGATTTGGTAAATGACATATACTCACAAACTGCCAAAACTGTGTTCAGCCACCTTAATTCTTCAAAATATGTTGGAAATTTTTTCTGGAGAAAAAAAAACTGTATTGAAGTTTAAGAAGAGAAAACGAAGTGATTGTCTAGTGGTCACATCCTCTACAAAATGTGAAATTAGGCATTTTCACATCATAGTTGTGCAGTGATGGCAAAGAAATGTACAAGAAAGCATGATATACATGTAAGGTCATTGTTTTGCCTATCTAAACCTATTGCTTTTTTGACATTCTCGTTGATGTTGCCGTCATCATTGCTTAAGCTCCCTGGTAACAGACCATTCCACGGTTTAATCAACTATTGACTGGGGCCAGTAAGCGAAAATCTTTCGTTGAAAACTAACCGCGATATAGCTCCGCAAAGTTGTGAAAAAATTGAAATAAATAAATAACTCACCATCCACACTAATAAATCCTTCTGTATCATCTCCATCCTCTTCATCAAGTTCAACGCTGCCAAAACTAATATTCCTCTCTCGTGCACCATTAACATTAGCGGGAGGTGTGGTGGGCGGAGTTTCGGTGAGCATATCACCCTCGGTAGGAGAGTCAGATTCCGGAGGGGAGTCTGCCTCTCGGGGAGACTCCGGATCACTGTCGTCATTACTTTCAAGGCCAAGGATGTCAACAACATCATCTCCAGACTCTGCAAGGTCCATATCATGGATACCTACTAGCAGGCTATAGTCCATTATGTTTAAACTTGTCAAAAACTGTAGAATCAAATGATTACAGCAGTAAAGGTCAGAGATGACTGTGCACCTATATGTACATATAAACTTGAACAATTGACCACTCCAGAAAATACCATAACATACCATAATGCTCTTTGTTTGTCACCCCAAAATTTTGCATAAGCATTGTTTTCAGTTTCTCTTGGGGCCATTTTAACTCCCATGAGAAACTGAAGACAATGCTTATGCCAAATTTTGGGGTGACAAACAAAGAGCATTATGGTATGTTATGGTATTTCTGGAGTGATCAATAATGTACACTGTATACCAAATGGAATGGCTACATTAAAGCCTACCAAGACACTTAAAAACTTCAGAAAGATCAGTTTATGTGAGATGTTTTTACTCCCGGTTATTCAAATGTTGGATAGCGGTATCACTGTGCATTATCCACTAGATAGAGATAATATACACTGCATCCAGTGGAAAGCATTAATCAACTTTTTGACGAACTGGGGCATGGACTCTACTATGATGTTACTTCCCAAAAGAAAAAACAAAAGAGAATGCTCAGGGGTCAAGTAATACTGTTGTCTGTACAAAAGGACGGCTATCTTCACAACTAAATCAAGTGACATCAGAGTAAGCTGACAATAAATTATTGCTGCTTGCTAGTCCTCTTTCAAAAAACAAATAAAATTGATAAGGAAACAGTCTACATGTATTTAAAAAAAGAATTAAATGAAAATCAGAAAAAAAATTGATACAAGATGTACCAGATTGAATGTGGTTTGACACATTGGATGGTAAATAACCACGTCTATCTACATACATGAACAAAATTAATGCTTTAAAAACTTACCTCAACATCATCCTTAATTCTTTGAAGCACATCCTTTTTGACTTCATCACCAATATGAATCTTTGCATTGTCTTTTGTGAAATCATTGTCCTTTAAAGTAGGATTTTCCTTCGTCTAAAAATGTTACAAAATTTTAAGCATTCAGTGCATAACTCACAAAAATGAAACACACATTGTATTTTTAAAAATTAAATGTTAGTTAATTCCACCCAATCTTGGTTTATTGTTTTAATGTAAATGCACAAACAGGGCAAGATATATAAGGCAATCAAGAATATTGACAACCAAAGTAAAACTACACATACATGTACATGTCTTGGTTTATTGAACGGGGTGAGGGAGCAAACAGCTGTTCACAAAATTCAAGACAAATAAAATTGTAAGGTGCACTGCATTTTTCTTTAAGCCACAGAATGGTTAGAATGTCTGTAAGAATACTCAAAGATAGGCTTTTTGAAACATTATTACTACAATCAGCAACTATATAATAATTGAGACAATATTGCTAAATGGGACACTTTGGAGAAAAGAACAATCCTCACCCCTTCCCCTCCCCTCCATTCAAAGTTGGGGTGTTTGTTGTTTCTTACAAGTAAGTTAAACAGTAGCATAAAATTGCATGGGGGAGGTGGGGGAGCAAAAGCTGAATTTTTCTTGTTTCTGTTTCAAGATAATTAGACATAAATAGACATACATGTATTTTCAGTGCTGTACACTTGTAACTTCGGAACTCCAAAGCATTTACATGTACATGTAATTTGGTACTTCAAAAAGACAATGCAATACTGACACAGAAACTGGACAAGGACTTATCAAGAAACTAGAGGTTATCGCAAGGAATTTGTCCATGGATAAATAATGACCAGTGGTGGAGTGTGACCCCTGAAGAATTTATGAGAAAGGCGCAATACATATATCTCACAGCAGTTTGTGAGTCTACTAGTGCAATATTTAATATCAAACCTTCTCTTTGCTGCTCGCTTGCCTGTCCACTGTGGAGCCTTTTAAGTCATACTTTTTATGAATCTTGAACTTAGTACTAAACACACTCTTCATTACTAGAAGGTAAGTTTCCTTGTTGTCTACCGTAATCCGATACACACCCAAGTACTGAGGTAGAAGCGTCTTCGCATGTTTTTCAACAATATACTGGGAAAAAAATGAATATGCAAAGTTTGGTACCTAAAAAGAATTAATCTATCACAATCATCCCTCCCTGGCAAGGCCAGGGGTCAATCTAATAAAACGTTTACAAGAGAAATTTAGTGTAGCTGACAGACGACCAATAACATCACGACGTAATTGACCAATCAGATCAATAACCAGAGTATTATACCATCAACTGACGTGATACAACTCTCTTTGACTCTGAAGATGACTACCGCACAGGTTGTCGCAATGTCAGTCAGTGTCAACAACAACAGTCCTATTCAGGACTACGTTCACCCGGACGATCAAACTCAACCTACTTTTGAAATGACTCCTGGGTTCAAACCTTTCACTGTAGCTACTATATTGTTTCCAGACTGTAAAACAAGGGCTATATACTTGTGAACTACACTTGTAAAAGTTTTATTAAATTGACCCCAGGGTAAACTTGGACACATTTTAAAAGTCCTTTCTGGTGTTGATAATTTCCAGGGACAAAACTCAGCTGAACTGAAATGATGATGCGTGAGCTTTTACTGAGGTACAAAACGATGAGACATTATCTTTGAGTTGCTGAGATGATCAGATCCATATAAACAAAACTTTAAGACTGATGCTGGTCCAAATTGCTGTGAGACCAAGATTCAGAGGCTAAGGAGAGAGTTTAAGACTCTTATTGTAGTTTCAACGAGATCAGAGTTCAAGGCTCTTACGGCAGATCTTTTCACCGGACTTTAAGTCTGCAAAATGGAAAATAAAGTAACACAACTTACATGGTGATACTGTGGAAGTATATTGTGCAGTCTCTCGATATCTTCACTTTCTATGGTTTTGACATAAAACTTCTTGTTTTTGGAAATAAAAAACCTTGCCCCACTGCGACCAGGAGATGGAGTCATGACTGGGGAAGACTGGAAAGCTGCCTGCAAATAAAACATGTAACATTCAAAAATATTAAGTCTGAAAAAGGCCTGTGAAAGATGTGCATTCATTACAGGGTCTAAAATTTGCAATTGTCCACTACATGGATGTATGAGACAAGCAGATTTTAAGAGTGACAACCAAATTGCAGAATATGGTTGCCCATTGGACCACCGGTGACCCAAGCGTAATATGAGAGTTTATATGGCAAATAAAGAGCTTGTACCGCAAATAAAACTTGAACGAAAATGAAAACTAGGAACCCATTTTAGTTCATTTCTTTGAAAGCAAAGTCCTTCCAATGTCCCTTATTTTACATAACAAAAATTTTGAAATAAAACTGGAGTGGCGTAATGACCTGTAAAAAGTTCAATAGGCCTTTTGTAATAGTTCCTCATGTGATCAACGTTCTGTATACTTTTTGGAAAAAATAATTTTAGCAGGAACTGAAAGAGCATATAAAATACGAAAAACTGTTAACTTTCAGCCCTACATGTATAATTATCTCAAAAGTAACAATGGCTGCTGAAAAATAATGATTTCTATAGGAAGAACACCTCTTGCCACCTGTTCACAGGACATCATGCAATAAAAAAAGGCTACCCTATTTCACACCTGAAGCCCTGGAGCCCGACATGTGACCAGAGGGCGTGACAAGCTGTTATGACACGTACACAGTTAAAAATGATCTTATCGCCAAATGATGAAGAAGTAGCTTCTTCTAAAAAACATACATTATGTACCCAATTCAAGACTAGAGTGCACAAACCATACCCTATTTCAGACCAAAAGGGTCGCAATTGATACCCTATTTTCAAACCAACATGGCTGAAATACCATACCCTTTTGCGCCGCACATACCTATATAGCCTTTATAAGGGAGTACTCCCCCTGGGCGAAAAACGCGTTGCAGATTATGAGTCTTCCTTATAATGCAAGCGAGACTAATCATTTCAACTTGTTAGTACCCAAGAGTATTACGTACTGTAGTGTAGCAGATAAATGAACATGCATGTTACACAAGCAGCATCTCCACTCACCGCATATTCACTGTCATCAATACCAAAGCGATCTCTAAGTTGCCTGAATACCAAAGGGCAATATTCCTTGAATTTAAAATGGCTTGGGAAATTTTCTCTGTAGACAAAAGAACAATAAATACATGTATAATATTGTGAAGTGAAGGAACTGATTTTTGAGGAGTTCCTCTGACCACCCCATCCTTCTACAGTGTATCTTTTCTTGTATTCCCAAGCTGATACAACGGTGGGTAGTGGTGGGTATATACCAAGCTGCAAATGATCAATTTAAAAAAAAACACAAGATGTGGAAGTCCCCAAAATGTGTTTGTACGTCAGTGACATTTTGGTTTCTTCTCAAGGGAGCAGTTGAATAAACATCAACAAAGCTTATTATGCACATGTAGCCTGAAATATGTGTTGGTTAGTGTGGTATGATCCATAGCCCCATGGAAGGGGAACCCCTATGGAGATGATGGGAAAATTTTATAAGGAGGTTGTGCATATTTGTCCGGGAGAGTGTACAGTAGTCCCCAATAGGACTGCAGGGCTCGACATAATTTCCGAAGAGTCTCTAGACACGATGACTGGCCAAATTCATTTTAGCTCGGTCACATATCATTTCTGGCAGGGCAAATTTGTAAGGGTAAATAACTCTCAAAATGGGGGCCCATTAACCAAAACTGCCGTTATATATTTCCAAACAAGTCATTACTTAGAGCTTATAGCACTCATTGTCAACAATAAAAATAAATTATTGTATGCATTAAATTTGTCAGCACCTGGACAAGTCTGGGGTAAAAACATTGTTAACCTCTGACAGAAATTATTTTATAATCTGACATTTGAGTCCTTATATTTGCCATGTTTTAAAAGAAGGTACATAATTATGTGCAGTGTACACCTGATCTGCAAAGCTAAAGGCAGTGTTCAATAAAGGGCACATTTTTGAGTCATTGGCACTGAATATTCTATTCTTATGCAAAATGAAATTATTGTCGAGTATAAGGACACCAAAAAAAGTTACCTTACATATACGTACTGAAAAGCATGAAGATAAGTTAGATAAGGATGGCGAAGCTGGAGAAGTCAGTTCGATAGGTCAAGCTCCAGAACTTCAAGAGCCAACCGCCTCAAGTGATACAGCTGTGTTTGGGTGATGTCAGTTGTTCAAAGTTTCAATTTCATGGTTTGACCCAGACCATTTTTGGAAACTCACCCAATTCAACATGTCATGTGGGACATACGACCCATTTTGAATAATTTCTAAATTGAACACTGGCTAAAGTGTCACCTGTTTTTCTCACTCGAATCATATCTTCATATACAATACAATCTTGGCTGTTTTGATAGGCCAATTGCCAGTTACATTGTCTTTAAGAATCAAGTTTTGGTGCACTGATGAATGTGCTAGTCTTCAAATAAATGCTGAGTGCTGAATGTATAAAGTTGTGCAATACTTGTACAATACTTTTACAAAGAGCCATATACCACCTTCAGCAGCTTTCAATCTGCTGCTAAGCATACAGTATATGATGCCTTGAATTAAAAAAGAAAAGTGAGAAAAGGCTCCTTTTAAATTGTACATGTATTTGCTGATTAGAGAGCAGGGTGTTCATTAGGCAGAGGAGATCAAAGAAACTCTGCTAACTACGCAAAATTCTCTTGCAAATGTTCAGTAGCCTATGACTATCTTTTTTTTAGACACGGAGCCATTTCAAAATATTCTCCTGTAACCTTACACCTTTCTCCTGCTACTAGAATTCTTAGTGAAAACCCTGAGAGAGCTGTCTTGCTTTGTCAGTTTGCCAATAATTTATTATTGCCCTTGATTTACACCTCTTGTACTGTAGATGTGCTATTTACAAAAGAGTGGTTACTATATCTGTACCCTTTTGATACATGTACTGTATATTGCATACGTTGAATCAGAGGTATACATGGGCTCTTACACATGAGGTGTCTAAAATACGACATCATCTACATGTTGTAACAAATCGAAAGCACAATCTTGCTATCAAAAGAAACACACTACACGCATATAAATGGTGTACAAAGTTTCAACTTCAGAGAATTCGCTTCTCTCCCAAAAGCTTTATCAGCTAATTTATAATTTTTTTAAAATTTTTTATTTCAATCTCTATCAACACTTACACAAACAAACCAAAAAAAATTACAATACTTTACAATAAATTGCAGTACATTGTATTACAGTCTTGCTACAAAAGTACAATAAAATGCGAGTCTAACGTTGAGTATAACCTTACTAGTTGAATTTAGATATATAGCTAGCGAACAAACTTCTTCTCAATTAAATGTTTCCATTTATTATAATAATATTCAGGTGAATTAACGCTTACGTAATAAGTGAAAAAATTTGTTTTTAATTGGTAGCGGGTTTTAAATTCTTCGTAAGTAATGAAATCAAGATTATGATTGAAAGAAGATTGTATTATTATCGATTTTAATGTCTTTGTTGTTCCATATGATCGCGTTTTTTATACCTGGCTTAGTATTATCTTGCATATCCTTAAACTCAAACCAGTATTGCAGTGTTCTTATGTAAAAGAGTGGTAACTTCTTAATGCTGATATCTTTGCTGCTGCAGTAGCAATTAGAGAGGAAGGAAAAACCTCCCAAGTATAAAGTGGCTTTATTAGGAATAACCGTCCATGCTGAATTCTCATTCAGTCTAAAGCGCTTTATCCAAATGCATTTTAAGGCTTTGTTCATTAAGGAAAAATCAATCATGTTCAGTCCCCTATTCTTGCGTTCGCATTTTGTCTTCCTCTTTATTTTATTGATTACATATATGTTCTCACTTTGCTGCAGAAAACCATGTCTGATTTAATAATGTTGCAGACAATGAAAATTTGGTCTTGTTAGTATTGAATTGTGAGTTACAGCTGTGGACTTGAAAAGAAACCATAAAAATTAATGTTGAAAGGCTGATGTTTTGAGCACTTGCTCTTTGGCAGAGCAAATCAGCAATTCTTTGTCTCAACTCAAACTGACAAAGGGCTACATGCTTGCTCAGATGTGAGCTTCATGACCTTTCTATGGTGGTAAATTGACTTAATGGCCCTATAGTGAAGAAAAAAACAATCTTTTGTGTTTCCTCCCCCACTGATGCAACACCACGGTCCCTTTTCAAACGAACCCTGTCAATCATTTGTTGTCAACAATGGCTGAATTTGAATAATATATTGAAAGTACACTTAAAATACTTGGACAAGAGCTTGTTCCCACAGCGACAAAGTAAACTACTTATTAATAAGATGCTATAAGAGTTAGACCAATTCACACCTGAAGGTTTTATAATACATAAGATCTACTTACTAAACAAGCAAAAAGCCCAGCCATCTATTACGCGACAGTATTCTTTTTACTGAACCGGAAAATTGCCTCAGTAATGCTAATGATAGATAATTGTCTGCGAAAACATCTTTAAAAATCATCAATCAAATGTATGAATGAATGACCAATTTTCCTACAAAACTTCAAAACCACAGTTTACTTTTCCTTACTACATAAAATTCAGACAAAATTACGTTGAAAGTATGACAGGAACCATCTAAAAATAGCACTAAGCTTATAGTTATTTAAAAATTGATAAATTTTCGTGCTGGAACCAAATCCTCACCGCAAGTAAATTATTCAGCAATTTGACATATACAGAATAAAATTACTTGATATGCTGGCAGGTTGATTATCCCCGCAAATGCAAGATGCAGATGAAAGAAACCTTGCCTATTAAATGCTATTAAGGGATTAGTTTCCTAAAGCTATTGTCGCACGAACATTAGTGAAAAACATTTGAATACATCCCGGCAAATGAAATTCACACAACGCGAACAGCCTACAACTGACAGCCAAACCAGACTAGAACTTGTGTGTGCGCGCTGCAAATATAAAACTCTAAAGTACGGCCGGAGTTTCCTCAAAATCAGACAAATAGTATTTCTGGCGATGGATTCTTGGTGTTTTAAAAGTTATTTGTCAAACGAATACATAAGTAATGATCAACGAGGATGAAACTGACCCCTGTAAAAGTCGAGAGAGCACATTGTAACGAAAGCCACATTGAATCTGAAGCTCACCAGATTCTTTCGATTTTCATCTGGATTTAACTCCACAAAAGTCAAAACCCCACGCGAAACGTCAGCTTCAAGCTGCAATCACCGACAGAGCAGATATACGACGCCTTCGCGACAAATAGTAATGAAAAAATATGACATCACATGAAAATAACATTGCAAACTATTCATAATACTGCACTCACTTGTTGAAGAGATGGTTATCCACGCGCATTTTGGTGAATGCTTTGAAGTCATCAGGCATCAACATAGCAGGATTATTAACATGCGATAGTTCATTGATCTGCAGAAAAGCATTTTACACACACACTCAGTGTTGCTATCCAAATTTTACATTCACAAAAATGCAAAATTCATGCTTACCGAATGGCTCACTCCCCACATCAACACGCTAAGCAGAGGATTATTTGAGCGAAAGACTTTCACTTTTTGGCTCATCACTCGGAAATTTTTCTTCTTTTTCGTCTTTGCAAGGCCAGACATCTTTGAAAAGTGTGTTTACGAAAGCTACAAAGGCCTCTTTTCCGTCTAAATCATAATGAAAATGATAAAAACCGCACATACACACCACTGCTTGCCTCGATCGGACAATAAATTCCCACCTGATTTGTGATTTCCCGTGATGCAAAGCGATACTGCAGGAAATAAAAACTATGTGGGGAAGGGGTGGGGCGACATAAACATCCTAGTTTTACTGGTTTTTACCTTTCACTTAATACCTTTGTTGTTTCCGCCAGGATTTAAAGCAAAATTTAGCTTATTTTCAGAAGAATGCGAATTGTAAGATCCAAGAGACCAAAGCTGATTGGATGATGAGACCAGCCTCTTCCAGGCCGTTTTTTCTCCAGCCTACAAAACTAAAACAGGCCTAAATAATTATAAGCTACGGAAAGAAAAAAAATTCTTACGTTTTTCCACGCGTCACATTAGGGAACTTAATCCTGCAAAATAACAAAATTGTAACATCGACGTTCCGGTTCAGTTGCTGCCCTTTTCCTTGGATTCTTTTACAACTAACTGAGGAAAAACGTGAAAGTATTTAATGTTTTAATTTGACCTGATGGCCTTATACAGTATTATGTTTTCACGTTGTTTTTATGAACCATAGACCTTTAAAAGAAATTTTTGTTTCGTTTTTTTTTTCGCTATTTTTACCGTGTTTGGAGAAAGCAAGGAAAATGTTTAGAAAAGTAAAAATACATGACCGTGATATGAGAATCTATTTATTTCCGAGAAGTCGAAAAAATTGGCAGACGCCGGTTGCTTATTCGAGCAAATAAGGAAGCAGGAAATATTTAGGGCCTTGAATAAATGTAGGGATGTGAGAATTACGTAGGTCAAGCGTGATTTCAAAAGATTGCCTTCCACGACTGAAAGAAGATTTAAATCTCCAGGTTTTACTCTAAAAATTCCTCTTCGCGGCATAAAAATCTGGGTGTAAAATCCCGGGGGGGCGGGTACTTCGTTGGATGGGGTGGGTTGCGTTTTCATTAGAGTTACTAGAATGGTATTGCTGAGTTTCACGACTTGGGGGATCAGAAAATTCACGTAAGTACGGATTTAAAATGGGAAGACTTGGCTTCATTAAGTTTAACCAATTAATATGTCGATTCATTTCCGGATGACCTAGTAAAAACGGGCTTAAGAGAGATGCATACAGAAAGTTAATAGGTGGGGCCCGCGAAAATTTCATTTTCCCAAGATAGGATCTATATCTAGCTACAGAATAGACTATAATGGGGGTAGTTCTGAGACGCCAGCGACACATACCCAGCATCAATTAACCCAAGTAGTCCCCCCCGGGTAAAATGCGTGAAAAGAAGGATATTTAATGAAAACCTCTGAGCTGGTTATTGTTAATGGTCTCATCAAATATAAAGACACAATTGTCCGGGATTATTGCACAGTAGATCTACAGCCATGGCTATCAAACAGAAATTCAATATAATGGAACTGCTTCAGTGGCTTTAAATCTGGCTCGAGAGAGGGTACCTGAAAGTGGCAAACTGTCTTGTAATCTCATGCCGGAGTAGAATCGCGTGAAGCACAGTCTACGACACTGCTGACATAAACAGATCGTAAGCCTGTGTTCGGGACCGTTTCTTATCATCACCCTCATCCTCATTCTCATTATTATTTTTATTTATTTTGTTTTTTAAAAAGTCCTTCTACTAGTATCTTGAAAATCGGATAGGTTTTTGAGCCACTTTTTGCTCCGCTGGAACCGTAGCCAGTAACAGTGAATAACTCGGAGCAAGGAATAGAAGTATGGAACCCTACGGAATCTTATGAGGATTGGCATTTGGTCACCAAGTCCTCTCGTCGAACCGCTCTCGTATGTGAACAACTTGGACCAGTTCTTAGACTGCGAGTAGTCCCCATTTTTCCTTAGGGATAGTAGAGCGAGCGAAACGCGAGCGCGCATGCTAAGCACCCCACGCGAGAAAGGCGGGACACGGAAATTTTCACGCGCGATCGCGTTTCGCTTGCTCTAGTATCCCTGAGGAAAAATGGGGACTACTCGTAGTCTAACCAGTTCTGGGCCGGCTGTTCATACTAGGTCGGAGTATTTTTCATGTCGACACGAAAAGTTATCCTGTATAATTTAGACATAGCTTAGGAAAAAGGGAAATGTGACGTTAGCGGGTGGCCCGTCCGTGCGATAGTTAGTTACGGCACAAAAACAATCCGTTTCCTGGAAGATGGAGAAAAAACCTTTTCAAGGCGAATATATTGCAAAACTAAAAGAGACACCTGTTAAACTGTACATGGCGTACCAGAAACCGTACATACATACATACATACACTTTATTGAGCATCCCTAAAAGGGGCTTTTCAGCATCAATATAAAAATAAATAAATTAATCAATTAATTAATTTAAAAAACTATGTACAACAATAATTTAATAGTAGCTATGTACAAAGGTCATCCCTAACCTAGTTCATGTTACAAATAAGTTCATCAATAAGACGTCTCTTAAAAAACTTTAGTATTATTTATGATTTCTCCCAAGGCGTTACTTAAATTATTCCATATTTTCACACCAAGGTAATAAAAGCACGTTGGCCAGCATTCATTCTACAAGATCGAATATTGAATATATCTTGTATGTCTGTCATGGACAATAGTTCGACTTGAAAATTTATCTGATAAGTAGCTAGATGACAGACCTTTGAGACATTTATGCATCATAACTGCATCATTGACCATAAGTCTTTGTAATGTCTGTTAAGGATGCGCATTAGGGTTTTTTTGCACTTTTTTGGTAGTTTTCCCCCATTCGATCATCCCTGTCACATGAGATCCGGAGTATCCTTCCCCCTCCCCCCCAACCCCTGGGCGTAGGATCAAGATGGATAGTGCTTTAAGTGACACTCAAGCCTGGTTTTCATATGCCGCTGATGCACCTGCGACATGGCCGCCGGTACTGCCTGGGATGGATCGCGGGCCGGCAACATTGGTCATCCCAGTCTTTACCGCCGCCTGCGAAGTTGACTCAAGTTCAACTTGGCACGCATGCCGGCGGTAGAGCTCTTGTTGCCAGCGGCAGATCGTTTTCATTCGTCCGCGAAGTAGCGCTATAGCCCAGGCGATACCCGGGAGGCTACACCGCAGATACATCGGCGGCATATGACAACCAGGCCCTTTGACTTAATCATGAGCGAAGTTTGCAACTGAACGACAAAATCATGTGCACGACTAAAGGATTAGTTTTCTTGCTGCATTGTCTTTCGCCTTTAATGAGAACCTTGAAGTCAGTGACGACATTGTCACTCTTATTAAAAACTAACTGCAATCCCAAGCGTAATTCCTACGGGTGCAGGAACAGCGGAACATTTTTTTCAAGTGGGAGAGGGGAGGGAGGGGACTAACAGGCTCTCCTCTTAGAAAATCTTTCATTTTTCCAAACAATCTGGTGAGTTAAAGGGCGACTGCACCCTTCCCTCGGATCCCTCCCCTTAAGGTCAACCCCCCCCCCCCCCCTGATGCGCGCGCTAAGCACGACTTCACCCGGTTAAGAGTGCTCGAGCGGTCAAAGTAATGGTCTGGAGCAGCGCGGATAACGGTTTGAGGGTGAATACAGAGAGTGAGACTGAGAGGAGACGCGCGTGTATGAAGCTTAAAAGCGTCATGCTAAACCAATTTTGAGAAAAGACTGACTGTTTTGCACTCATGACCTCACCCTTCTGCTAGACTTGATTTTTATCATGTAGTAAACGTTTTCCCACAATTTAACAGGACGAAGATAAAAATGAATTCAGTTAGTAATTTTCCGATTCCGATTTTCCGATTGTTTCAGTGGTTAAACGAGTTCTACCAGTTCTACGCTAATTCATCGCCAATTTTCAACTTTAAAAACTTTAATGATGCTAACGATGACTAAGAGAGCCGTCAGAATCATGGGACACAGAGGGAATAGGACGATGGCCCCTGGGACGTCCGCACATTTTAATTAGGGGGCTTAAAGCCCGGTTTTCATATGTCGGGAAAATCCCAGACGATTGGTAATTTTACTGTTTTGCTGACTGTCCCAGATTTTGCCAACTATCGTAGATATCCCCGATCGTCTGGGATGGACGGGGACAAATTTGGAGAATCGGAAGCGTTCCCGACGCGTCCCAGATTTCTTTGATGGTCGGCGATCATTCCCGACAAATAAAAACTCAAATTGGTATCGTCGGGGACGTCGGGCGATGGATTTCGCTCACTACCAATCCCCTAAATTGCTCGGCTCCAGTCCCCCTATCATGCAAGTTTCAATTTTTGGCGCGCTTTCCACTTCCAGCCAAATTCATCGGGGGAATCAGAGACAGAATTGTGGCGATTATCCGATATATCTACGACGGTCGGCAAAAGGTAAAATCCCCGATCGTCTGGGATTTTCCCGACATATGATAACCAGGCTGACAACGGCGACGACTACGAAAACGTCACTTAAAATGTGAATTCGCGCTACTTCAAACTTTATCGCGCTTATTCCAACTCGTTCAATTCGTCAAATGTTGGCAATTTCTTCTGGAGTTGAATTCTAAAAGACTGTATCAAAGTTCAGGAAAAGAAAAATAAGTCGTTGTCTTGTGTTGACGTCCTCGACGAAACGTGAAGTTAGGACGCTTTCACGATGTAGTCGTGCAGCGACGGCAAAGAAATGTACAAAACAGCGTGACGCACGTACAAAGTTGTTGTTTTGCCAATCAAAACCTATTGCTTTTTTTAAAACGGTTATTTATACTGAAGGAGGAAAAGCCCTCTCCCGATAGCAAAATAATAAAACCTCTTACATTTGATAACTTGTTCCCGCCACTACGACATTCTCACTCGAAAAAACTCGAAGCAGAAAGACGACGACTATCACGTTTTCCCGCAAAAATGACGCTGGTTCACTCGTGAGCAACACTCTGTATTTGAGAGAATCTCGTACTCGTAGTCGTACTTGTCTCAGAATCTAAAGCTCTCTAATACATTATTAAGGAAACACATGCACCTCGTGCTAAAAAATAT